AAAAGGTTTACACTTGTCTGGTGAAATTCTTTTTAAATTTTTTAAAAAATTTATTGATTTTGAGAGAGAAAGAGAAAGAAACTTATTCCGCCTCTTTATACATTCATTGGTTGATTCTTGTATGTGCCCTGCAACCTTGCCGTATCAGGATCCAGGCTGAAGGAGAAGCCCCAGTCAGGGATGAATTGATCTCATGGCCAAAGTTAACGAGAGGGATGGACCATGTGAAGGCTTCTAAAAGTCTCAGTTGAGGTTCATGTCTCTTCTCTTCATAATTGACTTGCCACAGCAATTCACATGGCCAAGCCTGCAGTTAATAGGGTGAAGAAGTGTATGTGCTGCTTCCACAGGGAGGTGTTACAAGCTACATGGGAGGGAGGAGTGAATAATTGGGAACAATAATACAATTTATCTCGCTATCCTAAAGAGAAAACTGCCACATTTGAAAAAAGTATATCAATAATGATAAAAATTATAAACAGTAGTAATAAGGAACTTTATGGTATATTCAGTGTTTTGCATTTATTAAAATGACCATTATATCTAGCAACATAGGAAAAGGCATTTAACATAATGTTTAGTGAAAGCAATGTACAGAGTATATATACCCTATGAGTATAGCTACGTACACACAATCATACATTTTTTAAAAAAACTTGAAGATATGCCCGGCCGGGCGTGGCTCAGCAGTTGAGCATCGACCTAGGATCCAGGAGATTGCAATTCAGTTCCCAGTCAGGGCACATGCCCGGGTTGCGGGCTCAATCCCTAGTCAGGGGCGTGCAGGAGGCAGCTGATCAATGACTCTCTCATCATTGATGTTTCTCTCTCTCTCCCTCTCCCTTCTTCTCTCTGATATCAATAAAGATATATATATAAAATGAAGATATGAAACTGGTGATAGTTTCTTAGGATGATGGACTCTTGAAAGATTTTTCATTTTTAAACTTAAAACTTTTTATAATGTTATTTTATAATTAAAAATAATTTTATTTTCTGAAAGGTTATTTTTCTTTCTAAAAGTCATACATATTTACTAGAGAAATGTTGGGCAATACAGAAAAAAATGATTAACAATACCAAACCAAAACCACTCTGGACCTTTCTTCCCAAACCACCACAGTAACTACTTTAGGTGTGTTTAAAAAATTAGTATGGCCCAGCCAGTGTGGCTCAGCAGTTGAGCATCATCTATGATCCAGGAGATTAAGGTTCGGTTCCTGGTCAGGGCACATGCCCAGGTTGCGGGCTCAATATCCAGCAGGGGTTGTGCAGGAGGCAGCTGATCAATGACTCTCTCATCATTGATGTTTCTATCTTTCTCTCCCTCTCCCTTTTTCTCTCTCTAAAGTCAATAAAAATATATTTTTAAAAATTTGTATGTTAAAAAAATTACTGTGTTAACCTTATGTTGCCATGTTTCATTTCAGGTCCTGAAAATCCTTGGTTGGTCCAAGCTTATGTTTCAGCAGCTAAACACCCTTTTGCATCTGTGGTGGCTCAGGAGGTTTTTCAGAGTGGCATCATTCCTTCAGATACTGACTTCCGCATCTACAGGGATTTTGGGAACATTCCAGGTATTTTGTCAGTTATGTGTGACAGTGCTTAATTATAGCAAGTTTTACATTTTGGAAGTTTGTGAGTAAACAGCATTTTCTGAGAGCACCTTCTCTATGTGAGAGCTGTGCTTTCTGACTCACTGAAACTAAGTTCCTAATATTTTCTTTTAAGCTCTAGTTTAGTTTAAATACTTGCCTTTTCTAGAACATGTCATCTTGCCCCACATTGTGACAAAAACAGAGGAGAACTGTTTGGCAGTTCATTCCCAAAAGACAGTAACAGATCCTTTAGGGGATCTTTCACTTTCATTGCTATTTTGCTTTGCCACCACCCTTGGTGGATTGTACAGCTTATTTTAAGTTAAAATTTGGTTCTGGCCTGGCAAGGATATAGATGGCAAAATTCTAGGACCTCCCAAGCTCAGTATTCCTAGTCTTTGCTGTGTGACTTGTAATGTGTAATAGTTTACCTCCTCACTCCTGTATTGAGTTATGTACCACAGCTTTAGATTTTATAAGAATTTGGAAGGGAATTTCATCCATAAATGTGACAAAGCAATCATGCCTCTCCTTTGACATTTGGTCTTTTAGGAATTTGATATATTAAACAAATAGGCCTAAAACAAGTTGATGTTTAAAGCAAAATGACCTTTTTTTGTGTATGTTTTAGGAATAGACTTAGCTTTTATTGAGAATGGATACATTTATCACACCAAGTATGACACAGCGGACAGAATTCTAACAGATTCCATTCAGAGAGCAGGTTGGTATTCTAATTTAGACTTTTCATATATGGTAAGATGGAATATTAGGGATGACCTATAAATCTATAAGTATTTTGTGGCCTGAGCATTAGGGAGGCAGTGTATGGTATGAATGAGCTGGGGCTTTGGAGATAGAGATATGACGGCTTAAAGTGTAGCCTTGAAGTCTAGTTTAGCAATTAAGAGCGTAAGACTTCATTGTGGGGAATTAGAAAGGGAGTTGACCCAGGGTTATGGTAGGATTGCTGAGCGATGAGTGTGTTGCCAAAATGAAAGCTGTACATTGGAGGGTGGCATTGACACATTTGGGCCGCTTGCCCAGGTGGAGAAAAGTTACATTGATCCAAGGTTGGGTGGTGAGGGCAGGTGAGAGGGTTATAGGACATGTGTCAGGACAGCACAGGGGCAAGGGAGTTAAAGTGCTTTCCAGAGAGATGTGGAGTAGTCAGGGGAGGTGAGTCTGGTGTTGAGCTTTAAAGAGTTGGTAGGATTTGGCCCAGTGGAGAGTATGTTCTAAGTAAGAGCCCGGCATGGGTAGGGTGTGTTTGTGTGTTGGCAGGGGTGGGGTGGAGGGGGTGGCTGTCGGTGAGTAGATTGTCAGACTACAGTCTAATGGGAGTTGTATTTTCAGAAATAGAGGGAAACTAGGTAGAAGTGTAGGGGTAGAGAAAATTGTAGGCAGCTTTAAAAATCAGCAAGAAGATGCTGTAGAAATAAGGACGCGTTAAAGGCCTGAGCACATGTATGAACGATGGCTTCCAATGCTGCCAGGCTCGTGATGCTGTCCGGCGTGGATGGTGGAGAGTGCGGAGAGCCCTGAGCTGGGTAATTTAAGCCAGGAGACAATAATTTAGGTGTGGAATAATGAGGACCTAGACTGTGGTGTTGACAAAAGATAGAAAGGAGAGTGGAGGGTGGAGAATTAGATACATTTTGAATGTAAGTTCAACAAGACTTGACAAATTAGAGAAAATTAATCAGATGGACAGCAGCAAAGATGACTGCAAAGTGTAAAGCCTCGCTGGCTAGGGAAAGATGTGCCACTGACTCTAACAGGGCTGCGGGAAGGTGACCCTCATCCAGAGCAGTGACAGGGGGAGACCATGAGCACTGTGAGCCAAACAGATGCAAATAGAGGTACAGTGTTAGAGCTCCTGGCAAAACTTGTTACGCGGGTTTGGGAGTGAAAGGCATAGGGAATACCACAGAAAGTGCAGAGAATGGAGGTGTTTTTGGAAGAGCAAAGCAGAGGTAGGGGACTAAATCTGAGCTTTTGGGAAAACACATTTTTAGGGAGGCAGGGGAGCAATGTTAGAAATCCTGCAGTAAGACAGTGTGGTGTCCTAAGTGGAAAGAAGAGAAAGTCAGGGGTGGGATGAGCACCAGTCATTCAAGGCGTTTTTCTGCTCTGTTAAACTCAAACTCATTCATTGATATACACTCACTGCAGGCCTCTGATGTGCCGGGTTCTGCCTGGTAATGACGCTCCTGTCATAGCTAATGAGTGTCTCACCTCACGACTCTCGTTTCTGTTTTCGGAACTTTCCCTCCTCAGGGCCTTCATCTGCATAGTTCTCGCCTGGACCATCTCCCCCACTGTCCTGAGCTGTAAATATCACTTCCTCAGGGTTGCTTCTCTGACTCCTCAGACTCCATTAGTCTCCCATATATTCCTCGGGAACTCGAATACCTCTCCTCATTGTTTTTACTCAGATATAATTGACATTCCTCATTAATTTTTTAAAAAACATATCTTTATTGATTTCAGAGAGAGGAAAGGAGAGGGAGAGAGAGATAGAAACATCAATGATGAGAGAGTCATTGATCGGCTGCCTAGCCCGCAACCCGGGCATGTGCCCTGACCCGGAATCAAACCCCGATCTTCTGGATCCTAGGTCGATGCTCAACCGCTGAACCACTCCCGGCTGGGCTCCTTATTAATTCTTTTTATTTTTTTTATTTTTTATTTTTGTTTAAAATATTACAGATGTCCCTTTTTCTCCCCAATGACCCATTCCACCCCATCCCCCTCCCCAGTCCCTCTCTCTGTGTCCTTGGGTTGTGCATATATGCCTGTAAATTCTTTGGTTACCCTCTCCCCCTCCACCCACCCGNTGTCCTTGGGTTGTGCATATATGCATATAAATTCTTTGGTTACTCTCTCCCCCTCCACCCACCCGCCCTCCTCCATCCCTCTGACATTCGTCAGTCTCATCTATGCTTCCATGTCATTGAATCTATTCTGTTCATCAGTTTATTAAGTTCTTTAGATTCCACGTATAAGTGAGATCATGTGATATTTGTCCTTCGCTGCCTGGCTTACTTCATTTAGCAAAATATTCTCCAGGTCCATCCATACTGTCCCAAAGGGTACGAGATTTTTCTTCTTTACAGCTGCGTAGCATTCCATGGTGTAAATGTCCCACAGCTTTTTTATCCACTCATCTACTGATGGGCACTTAGGTTGTTTCCAGACCTTAGCTATTGTAAACTGTGCTGCTGTGAACATCAGGGTACATATATTCTTTCTGATGAATGTTTCAGGATTCTTAGGATACATTCCTAGAAGTGGGATCACTGGGTCAAACGGCAGCTCCATTTCTAATTTTTTGAGGAACCTCCATACTGTTTCCCATAGTGGCCGCCCCAGTCTGCATTCCCACCAGCAGTGTACTAGGTTCCCCTTTCTCCACACCCTCGCCAGCACGTGTCGTTTGTTGATTTGTCCTTATTAATTCTTAATAACATGTTTGGTGTCCGTGAGCTTGATGAGAGGCCTTTGTCTCTTGGCTCACCACTGAATTCTAGAGCAGCACTTGCTGCATTAAATCCCTGGTAAATGAAGAGGCACTAAGCAGCAGCTGCTGTGTTTGTCAACAGTGAAGGTATTACTGGTCAGAGAATAGTTCTAATCGGTGGGAAGGGATGAAGGCCAGTCGGGTGAGTTTCTAAGTGGAGAGGAAACAGAGTGTAGGAGCTTGGAGCTTATTTGAAAAATTTAGTAAGAAAAGTAGGGTCGAGCAATAAGATGGTAGTGAGCTATTTCTTAACACATTCTTTCTAGGTATTTATTTGCTCAGAACTGGACCGCTTATTCAACTTTATCTTTCTTTTCTTTACTAATAGGTGACAACATTTTAGCAGTTCTTAAATATCTAGCTACATCTGATATGTTGGTTTCTTCTTCTAAGTATCGCCATGGGAACATGGTCTTCTTTGATGTGCTTGGCCTGTTTGTCATTGCCTACCCCTCTCGCGTTGGCTCCATAATTAACTGCATGGTGGTAATGGCTGCTGTTCTGTACCTGGGCAAAAAATTGTTACAGCCCAAACATAAGAGTAAGTATTTTCCCCTCAAACTGCAGTGCTGGCATGGGTATAGAGTTTGCCTGAAGTTTCTTAGTTCTTTTGCTTATATCCTTCCAAGATGATAAAAATCCTCAGAAAAGTATTTGATTTATATTGTAAGAAATTTCTAAATGAATATCAGATTAACAGGCTCAGTATACTTCTAGTCTTGGTAAAGCAGGCAGTTTTTATCTACTTACGCACTCCATAGGAAGTACCATGTAGGAACTATTGAAAAATGGTTTGTACAGATTGACTTTTAGTGATAAGTCCCGTTGAAACATCTTGTCCACATTATTGACCGATAGCACACTGTTCTGAAGTATGAAGGAACTGCTGCTAGGTAAATTGATCCCCTTTTGCTTGAAATGTTTTATAGTCTAAACTGGTACGTGCTGTCATGAGATAAAATATTCAGCAGTTAATCTAAAGAATCCTTTATCACCAGTTATTTCCTGTGCTCCTTCTTTTCCAGTGATAGCTTCTTTTAGCAAGATTTTATGGGAACTTTGTTTTCCATTCTCGCTGATATTTCAGTACACAAAGCATCCCGAAGGGCTGCAGATTAAGATGACCCACTTTCCCAGGCAGGAACGTAGCTGAACGATTCCTGGAAGACTTATCTCTTTGAGTCTTTAGTAAATGATTCTCAGTAAATGTTACTTAAATATTATTCCTTATGCCTTCCCTGTTCTAGAATTTAACAAACCTATGCCTGGGCCATTTCAGTACTTTTCAGTTACATAGTAATTTCTCTGTTTTAACATTTGCTCTAACTCTACTGATGGGTTATAAGATTGTTTGATAAAGATGGTGGTCTCCACGTTGTGTTTTCTCTTCTTTAGTGGCTAACTACAGGAAGGACTTCTTCTGTGGACTTGGTATCACTCTGATAAGCTGGTTCACTAGTCTGGTGACCGTCCTCATTATAGCAGTGTTCATCTCTCTGATTGGACAGTCTCTCTCATGGTATAACCACTTCTATGTCTCCGTTTGTCTTTATGGAACTGCTGCTGCAGCCAAAATAATATTTATACATACCCTCGCAAAAAGATTTTATTATGTGGTAAGTGTTAGGTATGTTTATTGATTTCTTTTTGCTGCCTTCAAGGATTGAAGAAAAACTCAAGTGGGATTCATTGTATGCTCACGTGCCCTTAACACCAGGGATACATTCTGAGAAGTGTGCCGTTGGTCAGTTTCATCATTGTGCGGACATCATTGAGTGCACTTGCACAAACCTAAGTGGCAGAGCCTCCTGCTGTGATTGCATGTGTTGTACTTTTATAGAATGGCCATGCAGCATCACCGTGAACACGTGAGCAGTGTGTTGTGACATTACAATGGCTACAGTGTCGCTAGGAGACAGGAGTTTTTCAGCTCCATTATAATGGGATGGAACTACCAGCATACATGTGGTCTGTCATTATCATCATGTGGCACATGACCGTATTTGGCACAAATAAACTAATTACTAAAATTCTGTGGCACACCAAAAAAAAATTTTTTTGCCATTCTGACAAAAAAATTGATATAATTTTGATTCACACCGGATGGCTATTGTGTTGGCTGTTGTCATTTTTTTATTTCATAGTCTAAGGGAAAAGAGGTCAGTGCTACTGACTAAATGGTCAAGTATTGCGTGTTTTCAAAGTTCTTGTGGCACACTGGTTGAAAATCACTGAACTGCAAGACCAGATGGAGATAGAAAAAACTCAGGAATCAAGCAAAATCTCAGATGGCCATTTGCTTAAAAGTGCTGCAGTTTTCCAGGTGTGCTGTCTGTGGCACTGCAGCAGCTTACACTCTCATCCTCAGTGTTTCTGGGGGATCGGTTTCCAGGCCCCCGGGACACCAAAATCCTCAGATGCTCAAATCTCTTATATAAAATGGTATAGTATTTCATACAACCTAAGCCCATTCTCTCGTATACTTTAACTCATCTCTACTTTACTTATGCCTAATACAGTGTAAACAGTTGTATTGTTTAGGGAATAATGACAAAGAAAAAGGTCAGTGCATGTTCAGTACCCTTCAGTAACAATGTAACATTAAGAAAGTAGTTTCGATCTGTCCTTGGTTGAGCCCAGTGGATGCAGTATCTGCAGATACAGAGGGTCGGCTGGACTCCTTCACAGGCCATTTCTCTAGTTTGCCTGAAATTCCTTGGAAGTTGTATCTAAATAGGAAAGCTTACAGAAGTGAATGTTTTTAGGAGACTCTGTTTTTCTATTTTATGACATTTCCAAAGTTTACTTACATAGCCTGGTGGAGGAACACAGATCTTATACAAGGATGTTTTTACTCCATCTTGTTAAATTCCCCTTCCCTGTACAGCCATCTGAATTTATTACTTCATAATAGGTGGTAGCTAAAGGATAGACCTTGCTTAAAACAAAATGTGTAGCTCCTCTGAACAGTGGAAATTGTATTAAAATAGAGTATCTTTTATAAATGGCCCATGAATGAGACTCTTGTGTGTGTTTCTTTCTTTCAGAACGCCAGTGACCAGTATCTGGGAGAACTGTTTTTTGACATCCCGCTGTTTGTGAATTGTGGTTCCCTTATAGCTCTCACTTATCAAGGACTTTGCTCGGCATTTATTAGTGCTGTCTGGGTGGCATTTCCGTTGCTCACAAAGCTTTGTGTGCACAAGGACTTTGAGCAGCATGGTAGGGTATTTTTGGTTTTGATAAAAATGGGAAAATACCTTAAAATACTTAAGGCTTCCAGGGACTATTGCTTTTTTTGATCTTTTGGGGAAGGTTTTCTAAATTGTAGATGTTTATTTTCAGATCATGCAGATTTTTATCTCATACCTTATACCCTATCCCATTTTCACGTTTATGAACACACGCTAATATATTACTTACACATTTTGTTTAATTCTTATTTGTATTTTAGCCTCTCTGAGTGAAAGTGTTTTATCTCACTAGATAATGTATACCCAAAGGGCAAGAGTCACATCTAACCTAATTTCTGATAGGTGCCAAGGTGCACCCGTACTAAACAACAGATCTCTCACTGCAGAATTTCAGAATCTATGGTTTCTTTCTCTTTTTTCCTAGGTGCCCGAGGAAAATTTATTGCCTTTTACCTTCTGGGAATGTTTATTCCTTACCTTTATGCATTGTACCTCATCTGGGCGGTGTTTGAGATGTTTACCCCTATCCTGGGGAGGAGTGGTTCGGAAATCCCACCTGATGTTGTGCTGGCTTCTCTTTTGGCTGGTTGTACAATGATTCTCTCCTCTTATTTTGTAAGAAAAAAATTTTTTAAATTTTATGTTTTATATAAATATGTGATGAGTTTAGCCATACCGTTCTATGAAATAGTGTTGCTTATAACTTATTGAGAAATTCTTAAGCGAAAGAAGTAGTGAATGGATGTGCATATTGTGGGTTTGGTATGGTAAGAAAATGTAGAATCGGGTTTTTGTTGTTATTTTTGCCCTCTCATCCTCCAAAATCCTCTGATCCCTCTTTTCAAATGACCCGAATGTGAATTTGCAGAATGCTTACCAAATGAGGACTGGTAGAGGTTGCTTGGTGGTAAGTTTTTGGAATGATTCCTAATAGTGTCTTGAATTTACTAATTAGAGGGCAGTGATAATAAATTCATAGTTTTATCAGTGCTGTTAGTAAAGGAAGACTAATTCTGATGGGGCTTTTTCCGTGACCAGTCTACTTACCTTACTGTTCGCACAGCCAAGTTCATTAATTGAGTCTGTTTCCTCAAGAGATGTACACCTATAACCCCAAATGCCTTTATTTAGCAAGTAATGAAAGAGTATCGGAGGCTTGTCATTTTGCTTTATCAGTGTCCTGCCCTTGGACTGTCCCACCTTTGCCACCCATTTCTCTTCCCTGGGGCCTCTCCCAGAGGGAAGGAAGGACCTGATCCAGAGTTGATTACCAGCCCCCGATGGTCAGAGAAGGCTCCAAGCAGAGTTCTGCCCTCTGCATGGTGCAGACACTCTCCAGGACTCAGGACATGGGCCCCGCCCCTCCCGGGGAGGCAGGTCTGTTTGTGGCACTTTTCATTGGAATTCCTAAGAACAAGAAATATTTACTAAATGCCCATAGGCACACTCTGAAGTTTGAAGCTAGGGGACCAAGTAGAAAAAGTAGTTGTGACTTTTATTATAGTTCTTTCCTCGGTGGAGATGATAGTGAGCTCTTTCATATTGTTGACACAGTGAAGGGCGTCTTGTGTGGAGGACGTTAGGATCTAGAGATAGCAGGTCAGAATACCACATGCATGACCAGCGGTATCCATGCAAGGCCCTTAAATAGCCAATAAATAGCTGTATGTGCAAGGGCATAAATAGTCTTGTAGAGTAATCCCTATGCACACTGTTATTTGAGGTCAGTTGTACTAGTCCTAAAAGAAATCTGAGTGTGCCAGCCATTTTACCCTTCNCTATGCACACTGTTATTTGAGGTCAGTTGTACTAGTCCTAAAAGAAATCTCTGAGTGTGCCAGCCATTTTACCCTTCATATAGTGATTAAAATCCTTACTGGTATTTGCAGAGATGGATGGAAAATCCTAAAATGTTCCTAATCTAGAGTCAGCTAAGTTATGGACGGGGCTCCCCAGAGTATTTAAATGATAGTCAGTGAATGGGCATTTCATTCCTGTTCCACGTGGAAGGGTTCAAGATGAACTCTGAGAACAACCCCAAAGCATGGAATCTCGGAAACTGTAAGAAAGAGGGTTAAAGTATATTATCTTCTAAATCATGTTTTTTAGGAAAGCTTTTTATTAAGAGTGCCTCTTGGGATACTTTAAAACCTCATGCAATTTTCATTATGTGAAATAGCTCTGCTGCTCTTCGATGCTGTGGGTTACCATTCCCATCATTGTTTTATGTGTGTTAAAAGATAGTGGCTTATTAATAGCGAGCCCATTCTCTTTGGGTAATGGAGAATTGAAACACAATGCATATTTCAGAGAGCTTTTCTTCTAGTCCTTGGGGATTCTTCTAGTCCTAGCAAATATATTTGATAACAAGCAATTACATTTCTGTCAAGTGATTAGTTAACAGGTTTCTTGGGGGTTCACCTATGCTGGGGCTGTCACGGTTATGTTGGTGAAATGGGGGTAGCAAATTGTGTTTTGCTAACTCACTGCTTTGAGTCCTTGGAAACTTACTTCTGTGCTCACAGTGTAAAAATGTAAGATCCTTTACCTAAGACCAGTATTGTTTTTTTGGAGATTATACTGAATGGGATATTTTAACATTATAGATATAAAATTCTTTAATTTTATGTAGTAGAGTATATGGTAGGTCATGATTATTTGCTAAATTTTCTATTCTCATCTCAAAAATATATTCATATTTATGTTCTTCCCTACTTATTGACCCTAGAAGGTAGTGGTAAGGGGGAGAGGGCAAAGGGGGGAGTTGGGATTAGATCATGGTTTCTCAAAGTGGCTCCTTCAGAACCCCTAAGGGATCTAAGTCATGTGTGCCCCCTACAACTTTTAATTCAGTGACTTCATTACAATTAATAAGCATATTTAGGATTTTGGTTGCCACCTTTAGACTGAGACACTCTTCCTGCCTGAGTTTGGTGAACTCGGCACTGAAGGGAGGGACAGTATGACTTTATATTGTAGTTTTTCCTCATGTGCAGGAACATAGGCAAAGTCTTGAAAATACATCTAAATGGATCCAACACGGCACATTATAAAAGCATCATGAATGAAATTTGAGTTTTATTGAAATAGGCCATTTTATGCTTAAAAGCTTACCTCTGTTTGTTTAAGCCTGATGTGATGTTTTGGTAGTTAAATAGTCTGCTGTGCAGTGTTAGCAGCATGTTGAGAGGATAGGAAGTAAAATGAGGTCATGGTTTGACTGGTGGTGGATCTACATCATCTAGTCTCTTTGCCAACTGAGCAGAGACACTGTTTCAGTTTCCTTTTTCCCTGTTGCTATCTGGCTGCCTGTCGAAAAAGGGGCATTTCTCATTTATCTAGGTTGACTTGTGATGGAAGTCCCTTATAATTAGTGCTTTGTTTAATGGGTGTTGCAGTACGTTAGCACATGCTGATAAATTTTCTTCATTGTCACATAACTGTCACAAAATAAAGTCAGTTAAAGCCACCTTTCTGCCAGTGTTAATCTTTCTATTTTTGTGTTTCAGATTAACTTCATCTACCTTGCCAAAAGCACCAAAAAAACCACGCTAACTTTGACTTTGGTGTGTACAATTACATTCCTCCTTGTTTGCAGTGGAACTTTTTTCCCATACAGCTCCAATCCTGCCAGTCCGAAGCCAAAGAGAGTGTTTCTTCAGGTGAGAGCAGTTTTGCGTGAGCTATTTGGAATTCTGGAGAGGAAAGCCTTGCGTGTTTTGAGCTTCACTAGTCAACAGGAAAACCGACTGACATTTCTCCTGTTGACCTATTTAGTTGTATTCAACTGTTCTGTGTAAGACCGTGAGGAAAAAGACTGACCATCAATAGGCAATCTTATCGGGTAGACATTTCCCAAGAGACCAAATTGGAAACATCTGCTTGCTGTTTTTACTACTGCTCAGATTGTGAGAATGCACCCACTTGGAACGACCAGCAAACATGTATCATGGGGTAACGAGCTTTAGAAGTACAGACTGGAAAGTATCTGTAGGCCAGTAAAAAGCTGAACTATTAACTGGCAAAACAAAATAGCTATTTTAAAATGGTAGTAAAATTATCTTAGGTAACTCTCAAAGTAGTATGTGGTCAATAAAATGAGACTTAGAATTTTCTTATATTTCCAATTTTTCTGCAGACTTTTCAGAGCTGGAGCTATGAGCAGGGAAAGGAGGAGGGTGCGTTTCCCTGGCCTCTTCCCTGGGAGAGGTGGTGGGAGCCTGACGGAAAGGCCAGAGGCACACCCTAGGTAGTTCATTGAGGGACTTGCATAAGTAATAATAATAACTGAACTTAAATATCAGGAGATTTTTGAAAAGGGGCCAGCTATTCCTTGTTTATATACCGGAGGAGACACTGTGATACATTTTATGTGACATTTTACAGTTTGCAAACCTTTGGTGAAGAACGGCTGATTTTTAGGGGATTTAATGTTTTCTGTGACAGTACTTTATTAGTTTCAGGTGTACAACATAATGTCTTCTAATTTTCATAGTTAATTAAATCAGTAATATTTAGGAAAAGCCAGATTTTTAGTTTTAAAAGCTCCTGCTCTGCTTGGATTTTGGGTTTGCTTCTTCCTTGGTGCCAGAAGTTGGTGAACTTCTCCTGTAATGGGCCAGATAATATTTTAAGATCTTCAGTCATATGGTCTCTGTTACAGCTCCTGTTTTAGAGTGAAAACAGCCACAGACAATACCTAAGCAAATGAGTATGGCCATTTTCCAATAAAGCTTTATTTATAAAAATCGTAGTGCACCACTTGACCCTGAGCTATAGGTCACCGGCCCCTGCCCTGTGCAGTCCTTTTCTTTTCCTGTTTGATGTTCTTCAGGCTGCTTTCTGTTAATGAAGCTATTCCAGGTGGAACATGGTGCCCTTCCCTAGAATTCTGTTAGGTACAAGTCTGTCGTCTGTTGGTGAGCTGTGATTCCCATATTTCTCTGCACATGAATTGGCCCGATGTAACACTGAGAGGGAAGTGTGTGTGTGTATCTACTGTTTAAGCCCTTGTCTAAAAGAAGTTCTAGCCCTGGCCAGTTCTGCTCAGTGGTTAGAGCTTCGGCCCTCAGACTGAAGATTCCCAGGTTCGATTCCAGCCAAGGGCATGTAACTCAGTTGCCAGCTTGATCCCTGGTCCTGGTCAGGGTGCGTGTGTATGGGAGACAACCAGTTGTCTCCCTCTCACATCAGTGTTTCTTTCTTTTTATCTCTCTCCCTTCCACTCTCCCTGAAAAGCAATAGAAAATATATCCTAAGATGAAGATTAAAATAATAATAAAAGGAGTTCTAGTGTTCATGGTTTTCAAAATTTTTATATGAAATTTAAATATAGAAATATATTTGTAAGAAAAATTTAACAAGCCAAAAAATATTTTTAAGAAATAAAACTAATAATAAAACAATCCATCTTTGAGTTTAAAAGAAAGAACATTAACAGTACCTAAGAAAATCAAGTTTCCCTTCTTGATCCAAGTCTTTCCCCAGCCCCCAGAGTCGTACTCACCCAACATCTTAAAGTTTGGAGTTAATCATTACCTTTTATTTTACCACATATGTATAAATCCCTAAACCATAACATACAGTTTTGCCTGTTTTTGAACTTCTTACAGGTAAAGCCATTCCATAAATACCCTTTTGCCTAAGAGCATGTGAGACTCTTCCATGTTGATTCGTGTCACTGTAGTGCATTATTTTTCCTTGCTGAACAGAATTCTGTTTAGGATGACTTCCCCAGTTGGTCTGCTCGCTCTACTGTTAAAGGACATTTGGGTTGTTTCCAGTTTTTGCTAAGATGGCAGTGTTGAATCAGGACACTAGTACCTTGCAGAAGTTTCTCTAAGGTGCATATTCTGGAGTGGAATTGCTGGCTTGAAGGGTATGTGCATGTTAACTTTGCTAGGTGATGCTGAACAGTTCCCTAAGGTGACTGTGCCAGCACACACTGCCCCCAGCAGTATACGAGGGTTCCTGTTGCTCCACAGCCACCCACTTGCTTGGTATTGTCAGACTTACTCAGTTTTTAATCCGGGGTGGGGAAGTGGGTGAAGGAGTTGAAACGGTAGTTTTCTCACCAGTCTTGTTCTTTTCAGCATATGACAAGAACATTTCATGACTTGGATGGACAAGTAGTTAAACGAGACTCTGGAATATGGATCAACGGGTTTGACTACACTGGAATGTCTCATGTCACACCTCAGGTTCCAGAGATCAATGACACCATCCGAGCTCACTGTGAGGAGGACGCACCCCTCTGTGGTTTCCCATGGTATCTCCCAGTGCACTTTCTAATCTGGTTGGTTCACTACTTTTCTGCTTCAGTTGGGGGTTAGTTTGTTCTCAGGTCTTACCACTGTATCAGCATTTCATTATTTAAACTGGTTAACAGAGTCAAGTGCCGTTCACACTGTTTTTTTCCATCACTGCCAAAGTTCTATTTCTTTAGTGAGATGAAGCATTCAGTGTGGTTTTGCTTTTCTCAAATTTAAACTCTTTCCTGTAGAAACCTCAGTACAGTGGTACCTCGGTTTTCTAATGTGATCTGTTTGATTCAGAAGACCGTTTGAGTTCTGAAACGTTTGAAAACTGAATGATCAACAGGCGACAGCTAGGCCTCAGGATCTTGCACTTAGTGGGATCCATGTGGCATGTGTCGACTTCTGGGGTGTGTTCGAAAACCGAAGCATTGACTTCCAGGTTTATGGTGTTCGTAAAGTGAAATGTTTGTCAACAGAGACGTTCGAAAACCAAGGTACCACTGTAGTTAGAAAGGGTGGTCCTCTTAACTGATCTAATAGGTAGCAGTTAAGCATCAAGTTCAAATTATTTCATTTCTGGGAAATTTTTATCATTTGGCAGTGGAGGATTAGATGAGAAGAAATGGTTTGGGCAGGAAATTCAAGATCACCCTACGATCCTTTATTCTTAACTTTGGGAAGGTTTTATTTTGCAATAACCTGAGCTTCAGAGGAATTGGCATTATTCATTATATCTATCAGAGTTTATTTTCATGCCTCAAAATGTGTTTCATATATTCTGAACACAAGCATCCTAAATATTTTTGAAATAGTGAATACTGAATTCCTTTCCAAATAGGAAAAACTGGTACCTTCCTGCCTCAGAAGTTTCTCCAAGAGAACCTGTTCATTTCAGACTTATATCCAAAGAACAGACACCTTGGGATTCCATAAAGCTGACCTTTGAAGCATCAGGTAAGTAATGAGTTTTTTCTTCTTGCCTTCAGTTCTTAAAATTTTTAATAAGCATGAGTGTTTTTTCCTCAGATTTATAATAGTGACCAGCAGCTTAGGGTTTCTAAAAGCAATTGCAGCTAATTATGATTTTTGAAAGAACATTTAATGGGAAGCACAAAAAATATCCAAACCTTTCTACATCCTTTATGCACAATTTGGAGAATTCCTGTAAAATGCAGGTTCTTGACAGGCAAGTTGCACATATGCAGCCCTATGTTTTGTGATTACAAATGTCAAGAAATCAGAAAAAAAAAAAGGTTTTTTAGACTGTGTATGTATAGGTCTGTCTGTGCACCAGTTACCACACTTTAAATTATAGAAGCTTATAGATGAATGATTGGGACAGTTAAGATCCTTTGTAGTTTTTGTTTTTCAGTGTTTTCCTTGCTATTTTTTGCATGTTTTCCATGTGAACTTCAATATTAAATCTTAATAGTAAACCTACTGCTATTGGTATTTGGGGGAATATAGTAATAAATTTATAAATTATAACGTTGAGTCTCCCTATCCACGAACTTGGAATGTTCCTTTCATTTGTTCAAACCTACTTTTGTCTCTCAAGTTTTATAACATTTTTCTTGTCTAGGTTTTCTATTATAATTGGGAGTTTTCTCTACCAATATGTCTCTTAATGGGTTATAATTTGTATGTATGAAGGTAATTGATTTCTGTATGTCAATTTTATATCTTGCTACCTTACTGAATCTTTTATTTTTCTAGTTAATCTTGATACTGTAGGGTTCTCCAGGCATACTAGGAATTGCCAAACTTTAAAGGGCCAGATAGTAAATACTTTAGGCTTTGCCATGTCTCTGTTGTAGATTCTTTTTTGTTAACCACTTTAAACACATATAAATCATTGTAGCCTGGCCCAGTGGTTCAGTTGGTTGGAGCGTTGTCCCATACAACAAAAAGGTTGTAGGCTCGATTCCTGGTCAGGCACATACCTAGGTTTCGGTTCGATCCCTGGTCCAGGTGTGTATGGGATGCACCTGATTGATGTTTCTCTCCTTTCCTCTCTAAAATTAATAAAAATATCCTCAGGTGAGAACTGAAAAAATNAGCCAGTCAGAGAAAGACAAGTGTAACAGGATCTCACTCGTATGTGGAATCTAATGAACAAAATAAACTGATGAACAAAACAGATCCAGAGACATAGAAGCATGGAACAGACTGAGGGATCTCAGAGGGAAGGCGGGGATGAAGGAGTGGGTGGGGAGAGATTAATCAAAGAACTTATATGCATAAATGCATAACCTATGGACACAAAAAATAGTATGGGGAAGGCATGGGGGTGGAGCAGATCATTTGGGGGGGGAAAGGGAATAACTTTAATACTTTCAACAATAAAGATAAATTTTTAAAAAAAGATTAATGAATAAAACATATAAACCATTCTTAGCCTGAGAGCTATACAAAAACAGACTTAGGTATAGCTTGTTGACTACTGCGTATCATCTGCAAATGTAGTTTTATTTCTGCTTTACCAATTCTTATGTGTCTAATTGATTTGTCTAAATGGCTATAGTCAGTAGCATTCTTGCCTTGTTCTTGATAATAGCACAAAGGTCTCTAGTGTTTTCCTATTATGTAAGATACTAGGCTTAGGACTAAGGTAGATTATTTTTATCATGTTAAGCAAACATTCATCAGTTGTCATTTCTTGAATGTTTTTTTTCTAAGTATTTTTAATTTTGAGAAAGGCTTTTTTTAGCCATCTGTAAAGATAATCATAGGTTTTTTTCTTTGGGGTATTTTTTAAAATTTTTTTTATTTTCTTAATGTGATCTTGGATGTTTCCTAATATTTTATTTAGAAATTTTGCATCAGTACTCATGTATGATATTGGTCTGTGTGTGTGTTACTCTATCAGATTTAAGTATCAGTGTTATGCACTATAAATGTAAAAACATCATAATGTTATATATCATGAAAACAGTTGGTAAGTTTTCCTTAATTTTCAATGCTTTGGAACAGTTTATGGAGCATTGGAACCATTTGGTTAAGTTGGCTTGAATTCCTCTCTGAAACCACCCTGGGCCTGGTGCCTTTTTTGTGGGGTAGCTTCTTAACTTTTAGGATAATTGGTCTACTTAAGCTTTATAGTTCTGTGTTCAGTTTTGGTCGCGTGTATTTTCCTAGAAAAGTATCCATTTCATCTGGGTTTTCAAAGTTATTAGTACAGAGTTCTGCAAAGTAGTCCGATGTGATTTACAAACTTCTGTTTATTTTTATTTCTCTTTTTGCATACTTGTTTATTGCTCCATTTCCCTCCCCCACTCCTGTCTCTTTCTTAATCAAGTTAGCCTGGTGGTTGGTTATCTGATTAATTTAAAAAAATAACAGACTTGATTGTTCAAGGTAGGTCTGTTTTTATCTGTATCTATCATATTTCCTAACCTGTGCTTTTTTTAACTTTGTTGTCCTTTTTTACATGTCATTTTATTCTTTTGTTTTACTGAAAACAATGTTTATTGCTATGGCTTCTCCTCTTACCACTGCTTTACCTGTATCCAACAGTTTCTGGTATGTGTAGTATTTTTGTTATTTAAAAAAATTTCCATAATTTTTGTTCCTATTTCTTCCTCTTTTACCCGAGTCTTTTAAATAGACCTTTAATTTCCACGTAGAAGGCTGTTTTATTATTGATTTACGATCAGTGTTATTTGTAATATTCTCAGTTTTATAGAACTTTGATATTTCTTTAGTGACCTAATATTTTTTATGAATGTTTTATGCCCACTGGAGATATATTCTGTATTATCAGCATGTAAAATTTGATACATATATCATATGGCCTATTTCACTGGTCATTTTGTTTAGCTCTTTTATACCACTGTTTTCTGTTCAATTGATGTCTTATACTGAGAGTGGAATATTAGTCTCGTATGTTTTCCTATATATACATCTCCTGCAGTTTTGCTTCATAAAGTAGTTGCTATGTTATTTGGTGTGCAGAATTAAGTTTTTATGTGAATTGCAGCTTTTAGTATTAAAGTGTCTCTACTTTTAATGCTTTTTGTCTTGTTTTTTTTTTTTATATATCAGAGGTCTTTTTAAAATTGTGTCCACTTGCCTGAAATACTTTTAACCCTTTCAGAATCTCTTTAAGTGTGTTTCTTGAATATAGTGTATGACTAGGTCTGGCTTTGTAAGCCCAGTTGCAACCCTTTTTCTTTTAGTGGCTGAGTTAGATCTAATCACATTTTATGACTGATGCTTTCCATCTTTGTCGCTGTTTTATGTTTTAATTGTTATATCCTGTTTGCTGTGGTGTCATCTTTGCTCTTTAACTTAAAAAGGATTATTTTTATTTGGATCGCCCATTATTTAACCTTTCCCTATGTGTGTGGGTGAGTATGCTCACTAGACTTTCCTCCTCCCTCATGTTTGTTTTCTGCAGCATTTGTCCATTAGTCTCCCACCCTCACACCTCAGCACCTGTCTTAGTAATATTTTTGGGTATATTAAAATCCTCAGTGTCAGTTCTTTTGCTATAGGTTTTGTAGTTATGTCTTGGCTCGATGAAGCCTGTTCTCTAGATTTCTGAAGAAAGGCTCTCACAAGTGGTAGGTTCTTGGATGCTTCAATGGCAGGGCCAAGACTTGAACCGAGGTTTTCTCACTGTCAAGTCTGTGCCTTTCCTGCTGTACCTCATTACTTACCCTTGTTGGCAGGCACGGAAAGTCCAGACGGGCAAACCTCCATTTAGTTTGCAACAAGTGTCTTAAAGTGATAAAGGGCATGAACTTCACAGTCTGGTTTGGGTGGTGGCTTAACTGCTCTTCTTGTTGATGCTTTTTAAAAGATAGTTATAACTGGTCTTTCTTCCTCTTATGTTACAGGACCAAGCCATATGTCACTGTACATTCGAACCCACAAAGGGTCAACACTTTCTCAGTGGTCTCTTGGCAATGGCACCCCAGTCACAAGTAAAGGAGGGGACTACTTTGTATTTTACTCCCATGGACTCCAAGCCTCTGCATGGCAGTTCTGGATAGAAGTACAGGTAGGAATTTCCCAGCACTGCTGCCATCAATTGATCAGGTTCCCAGGTGGTATTTGGCAAGTATCAAATACTTGGGATCAATATTCTGCCTTCATAGAGCTAGAAAACTAACTACTTTTCTCTGCCAGGTCTTGGAAGAACAGCCTGAGGGAGTAGTCACTGTGGCGATTGCTGCGCACTATTTTTCTGGGGAAGACAAGAGATCCTCCCAGCTGGATGCTCTGAAAGAGAAGTTCCCAGATTGGACGTTTCCTTCTGCCTGGGTGTGCACCTACAGTCTCTATGTGTTTTAATCTTGTGAATGAGCCCTAAGTAAATGCCCCGTGGGATACACTTCAGGTGACACGGTCTCTCCTTATGCTACATGGATATTTGTAATGTAACTCAGTGGATTTTAATGAGCATGTGTTCAAAGAGCTTTGTGGGCTGACACTCTTCAGGGCCGAGCACTATAGTGGTTATGCTGTGGGTCAGTGGTACATGGCCTTTTTAACACTTGAAAATGCCAGTTTCCTGGCGCTTAAGCACATGTGGGTGCTGCCACTACGCTAACATGTCACTTTATATGACCTTAAGGACAAAAGCCAACAAACCACTTCAACAGTTGTCCCCTGAGGGTCATGAAAGATGTTGAAAGTACTACAAGACCATAATTAATGAGACAAATGACATTTCCAGTTGAAGCCCAAGACCATTTGTTGTCAGGGGACGGTGGGTAAATTGTCAGTCACTGCAGTAATGGTTCCCCTTGAGACCTAACTGTAGGCCATCAGGAAGCTATTACAAAAAGGACTGAGGAAGCAGCATCGGGCTTTTGAGGTCCCAGCCTGTGCTAGAAGAAGTGCTTTTTCAGGCAACTTCAAGCATGTGCTTTGGGTCTCTAGTGAAGCCCAGAACCCCTGGTGTGGAAGCCTGGGCTCAGCTGGTGATTCCTGACGAGTGGTCACTGAAATCCATCGTCATGATGCTTTTCTGAAGTTGTTTCAATGCCTGTTTCCCTCTGAAGCGTATCTGCTCCCCCTCTCCAATTCTGTAGTCCTCTCTGGGTTTTCACAGGTTCTTTCGGTTCAGAATGCTTGTTTGTGCAAGTGTAGGACCTTAACTTCCTGTCTCAGAGCATTGAGTTGCCAAGGTGGCTATTCTGGGGAGGGAGGAGAGTGGGGTCATAGCAGCTGAGCATTTTATAAATATTTATTCCTTGTTTTGTAGAGGGAGTTTTCTGTTATCCAAGGTTAATCCTTAAGGGCATAATTTTATTGATGCACAGGGTCCTTATTTTTCTGTTTCCAACCAGCTGACCAGATTGGTTTCTCAGTAACTCACTGTCCAGCAGAGCTGGCTTTCCTGAAAGTTGAGATTGTGGCTTATCCTGAACAAGCTCCCTGTACCTGTTGGGGTTCAGATCCTGTGTTATGGCAGCCCTAGGACTTGAAGGTGCTTTTCATTTTGAAGAAGGTGGCCGTGTAGCTTCTGAGGCATATCACAGCAGTGCCTCTAATGGATTCCTGGCTCCAGCAGTGGAAGGGTTTAGTGAGATCAGTGGTAAATTTTGCTAGCTTTTACATTTTTACATTTCGCTGAGAAATGTAAAATGTTAGACAAATTCTGAGTTTAGTAAAAGGAGAGGCCCCCGAAAAACATTTTAAAGAAAAGCTATAGTAAAAATTTGAGTATAGTGTGTATCACGGGAGGAAATTCTTGAAGCTGCTTGTGATTTCTTAATCATGCTCCTCATGTTGCCTGTCTGCCTAATTCGTGGCTCTTTAAAACTCACTGGGCCCACACAGAGCTGCTGCCAGAGCTGTGATAACATGCTGGCTGTGATGTGCATGGACACCAGAGCCATTGCTTTTTTTTTTTACTTTGTAGAAACCACACATTACTAGCTTCAAGTGCCTGACTCCTGCCACATTTATCTGTCAGCAGTAATAAAGTTTGAAGTGTTTATAGCTTGTATGGTATCACAGTTGTGGAGGAAAAGTTAGAAACAGTAATAACTCAGTCCTCTGCAACTGTAGGTTCCACATCCACAGATGGAAAATATTCAGGAAAAAAGTGTTACTGACATGTACTATGTAGTTAGGCCTACAATGGTTGCATCAGTACTAAACTTGTAGACTTTTCCCCTTGTCCTTAAAAAATACAGTTATAACAACTATTTACATTGTATCAGGCATTATTAGTAATGTTGGGAAGATATATGTAGGCTATATGCAAATACTATGCTATTTTTATATGGGATTTGAGCATCCATGGATTTTGATATCCAAGGGGGTGCTGTAACACACCACCTGGATTCCAAGGGATGGCTATACAAGCATTTTTTTGTCCTTTTGAGTAATGTGAAACTGATTACCAGAAATTATTTTTAGAAAAGAAAGGGCAAAACCCCAAGTGTGTTGTAATTTTTTTCCTTTGGGAGGGATATTGTTACTTTTAAGTAACAATCATGGTTTTCCTTAGCATTATAAAGCTCCCATATTATAGAAGGTTGGTAACAAAATGCTTAATAGTCTGGGAGACTGTTTTAATGGCAGAAATGGTTAAGTAATTCCTATATCATGGCTCTGTTAATAAGCACACCACTGTCAGATCAGCAGCCTCTGAAATTTAAGAATTCAGTAGTTTTCTGTTTCTAGTATCTAATCATTTGAATAACTCATTTCTAAAACACATTTCCTGCAGAAATTAAATGTGAGTAGCACAGTATTGCACATTCAGGGAAAGTGTAAAGAATTGTGATTTTGAAGGAATTCTTTTAAGAAATAATTTACATTGTGTTAACCTAAAAATGATTGTTGTATGAAGTATTTGTTTCCACAGTTCAGCAGATGCAAATAAGCACGATAGGATTCCTACAATGTTACCACTGAGGGGGCCATAACCTTCCTGCCAACTCAGGAAGCTTTAGGAAGAATGACTGTCACTTTCTTTTCACTGGTTTGCTGACTTGAGGATTAATTGTTGCCTTACAATGTTACTGAAATAAACTTTTTTAATATACTGGTTAGTATCTTTAACAAAAAATGTATCTTTATTGTCTGTGTTCTGTATCCTCATATATGAAGTTATTTCAAGTCTACAGAGCCTTTTTAAAGTCTCTTTAAAACAAACAAAAAAAAGCTGTTAAAAGGCCTAAATGGTTCATGTGGTTATAACTGCTATTTTAATTTGTCATGTGAGCAAAGAACTCAACATGGGAATGTTAGTTTACTTAAACTAGAATCCTTTTTGCTATGGAATGAGGTGGTGCATCTGAATTTCGAGGATATTTTTTCCATTGCTTTTCAGAGAGGGGAAGAGAGAGAGACTGGGGCCAGGGATCGAGCCTGTAACCAAGTTACATGTCCTTGGCCAGAATCGAACCCAGGACCCTTCAGTCTGCAGGCTGATGCTCTAGCCACTGAGCCAAAGCGGCTAGGGCTATTCCGCAGTTTTAAATCATATCAAATGGCAAAGAAAATCACTGAAGGACTAATAAAAATGGTCTTTTGTTAGGAGATAGAGGCAGGAAGGAGGGAAGAAGCTGTCTTTCAGCCAAAGAGCTCATCCCAATCTCCACATAAAGAAAGGGCACCACCACTCCCCAAAAGAGTTCAGTACAAGTTATAATGGCTGAATGACATTCCTAATATACTTTGTAGAATTTATGGCTAATAAAGCCAAAATGCACTTAATGCCTCTTTATATGTTTTTATTTAAAAAATATCCTAGCCAATTTTGAAGTACATCAATATATATATTTAATACTACTTACATTATTTGATTTGTAAAAATATAATGTGTGATAATCACCCCTATACCATAATCAAGTGGGATTTATCCCAAGAATGCAAAGTTTACTACCTGAAAAATCAATGCAGTATATACCATTTTAATAAAGGACAACCGCCATATGATCATCTCAATAGATGCAAACAAAAATTGACAAAGCCAAACACCTTTTCATCGTAGAACACTCAACAGAACGTAATAGATGGGAACTTCATCAACTTAATTTGTGATGAAAGACTGAATGAGGCTTTCCCCTTTACATCAGAAAGAAGACAAAGATGTCCACTACTCACTTCTGTTGAATACTGTACTGGAGGTTCTGCCCAGGGCAGTTTGGCAAGAGGCATCCAGATTAGCTGCAGGTGACATCTATATAGAAAATCCTAAGGAATCCACAAAAAACTATTACAGTTAATAAATGAGCCCAGCAGTGTTGCAGGATCCAATATCTATCTATATACAGAAATCAACTGTATTTCTACATACTAACAGAACAATCCAAAAATAAAACAATTCTATTTGCAAAAGCAAAAAGAATAAAATACTTAGGCTTAACGAAAGTACAAGATGTTTACAATGCAAACTATATAACATGGCTGAAAGAAATTAAAGATCCATTATGTTCAAGATTGGCAGGCTTAATATTAAGATGGCGGCAATATTCTCCAAACAGACCTACAGACTAAATATAGTCCCTATCAAATCCCAGCTGCCTTTTGTGTGTGCACGTGCAGAACCTGACAAGCTGATCCTAAATTTTCTTTGGAAGTGCAAGGGACCCAGAATAGCCTGAAGAGTCTTGAGAAAAACTTAGGACTCATACTTTCAAAGCTTCCTACAAAGTAGCAACAGTAATCAAGACAATGTGGCACTGGCATTAAGAAGAGACACACACAGGTCAGTGCAGTACAGTCAGTACAGAAATAAACCCACACATTTATGGTCTATTGAATTTTGACAGTTCAATGGGAAAAAAATCTTCAGTACACGGTTCTGGGACACTGAATATCCCGGTACAAAAAAGCAAAGTCAGACCCCTCACTTCACAGGACACAAAAAATGAACTCAAAATGGATCAAAGACCAACATGTAGGAGCTAAAACTATAAAACTCTTAGAAGAAAACATTGGCATTGGTACCTGTTTTTGCTAACAGAAATTAGAGGACTTTCACTTTTATAAAAAAAGTTGTTTCTGTACTTACATAGGTCTTTCAAAAAAGCCAAGACCACAGCACAAACTTTCAGGAAGCAGAGGACACTCTCTGCTTTAAGCTGTTTCGGTTTATGAAAGGTTTCACAGGACACTACTCTTTGTACCTGGTAAGCATCTAGTATCCAAAATATATAAAAACTTGCAAATCAACAACAGAAACATAAATGTCCGAATTGTGAAATGGGCAAAGGATGTGAACATTATACAAATGGCTAATAATCACGAAAAGACAGCCATAAACGAAATGCAAATCTATAATGAGATACCACCACTTCTATACTAACGCAGATGGCAACAACCACACACAGTAACAAGGGTGTGCGGTAGAAACTGGATAACCCTCCTCCACTGCTTAGTGGGAACTAAAAAAAAAAATAGCACAGGCACTCTGGGATATGGTTAGGCATTTCCTCAAGAAATTAACTAGTTACCATAACTCAGCATTTCCACTCTTACACAGAACTGAAAACATGTCCACACAGAAACGACTTGTACATGAATGTGATAGTAGCATCGTTCATGACAGTCAAAAAGTAGGCACCACCCAATTCCTTAAATGACTAAACAAATATCCATAAAATGGAATATTATTCAGCCTTAAAAAGGCATGAATTACTGACATACAAAGATGAACATCACACTAAGTGAAAGAAGCCAGACAGAAAAAGCCACATAGTACATGACTCCATTTATATGAAATGTCCGAAATAGGCAAATCCCCAGACCCCAGACTCAGGAACAGCACAACAGGAAAAAGTCAGCATCGCCGTTAATCCCGCCTATAGAGATGATGCCTGGTCTCCAGACCTTTACATGAAGTTCTGTTTGGTGGAAGTCATGTGGTATGCATGACTGTGTATCGTTTTCCATGCCCTCACCATGGGTCGTCTGTTCTCATCTCCTGTTCTCAGGCACCTAGGATGCTGCCAACTCTTGATGTTCCTATTCTAAACAATTCTGCATATATAAATACTAAGCTTGTCTGAATTTAAGTTATTTCATAAGAAAAATTCTAAGAGGTGGAATTATATAATCAAAAGAATAGTTACGTGGCTTTTAATAAACACACTTTTTGCTGTTAACCTGAGATGGTGAACAAACAAAAGTTCATGTAATGGTTTTATTGCCCTTTACCAAGTAAAAAAATACACATTACAGAAATAGCAGCAACTTTAATTACAAGCAAAGGTTAACTCTACCCCCAAATGACTTCTTGTTTTGGTATTAGCTAATAATTTAAACTCTGAATAATTATACTGAAAATTTAAATTCATTGGTTAAAATTATGGCTTAAACAGTTGATATGTGAACCAAACATGGTAAAATAAAAATATGAGTTTTTAAAATTAAAGTATATATCAAATTACCAGATAACTTTTCTGTAAATTTGTCCTTTTTTTGCTTTGGGGCCACTAAGTCCCATTAGTTGAAAAAAAAATATTTTCTAGAAAATTCATTTATGGCGTTAACCACAGGAATACAGCTCTTATTGATGCCCTGCTTTGGAGAGTGCAAGATGAACCCAGCAGCAGACTGGATACTGGAAAAGATCACAGCTGTTTACTATGGTAAATCATTTTTATTGACTGAATTCACACCAAGCACAAAAGTAATGCTAGTCTTCTCCTAGTGGACTAGGGCAGGAGAAGAAATTTGTTCAGTTTCTTGCTGAGCTGCGTGATGTACTCACATGGGAAACAATGCTATCCTAAGATTTAGGGAAAGGTGGTTTAAAACAAAGGCTTAAATAAAGTAGCACCAGAAGGACCAGGTATCAATAATTACATATTCCACCCGTTCAGGAGTTTCAGTATGTGAAATTATTGCACTTGTAAAGTAAATGATAGTAAATTACCAAACACAATCATTTAAAACAGTCTGATGAATTCTGAACTAAGCAATTTCAAAATGGTTTTGAGTTTCCCTTCAAAGGAAACCTGGCTAGGACAACTAAATCTAGCCATTTACTTTTAAAAACAAGGATAGAGGACCAAGTTTTATTTCTAAACTGTAATTGCACTATGAGAAGAGAGGCTGTTTTACATAGTGGTATGAATTTGGTCCACATCAAATACATTGTTGTTATAAAAATAAGTTTGTTTTTGTAAAAAATAACATTGCATTCCTTTGTTCAAATTGCACAGTACAAACAAGCTATCTAAATTAATACTGTTACTGTTGTAATTAGAAGTACATACAGTGGATATGTGTTTAGTCTGAAGCAATTAAGGAGTATGCAGTTTTCATAATGTACGAAAACTAAAATTTAAGTCATATCTAAAAATACATAAAATATTTTTAAAATTACAATGAAGAATGCATTTTTTACATACTAATTTTTAGTTAGCCGTGATAATACAGGATTCAGCAGTCTATTTACATAAAACTCCCATTTTTATTCAATTTACAAAAGCAATAAATAAGAAACTACATTAATTTGCACAAAACCTGTTTCATTTCATGATCAGTGTGATCATTTTCTGTTATTTTATGACCAGCCAATAAACCTGTCTTCCTCTATGAAGACTGCTCATATCTGGAAAGAAGAGCAAGCCCTGTCTTTATTCCAAGAGTGAGTATATAAAGCCATGCAGAATCCAGCATAAAACCTTACAAGTTATAATAATACAAGCCCTAAAAATATGAACAGTGCCTTTGAGTGTATTTACACAAGAGTATTCACAAAAAGATAAAGTTCTTTGATACAAAATAGTTTAGTGGTATCAGCATAATTGACAAGAACCCTCAGACCTCTGCCCATGCTGCTCTAGCAGAATCAGGCTCGCACGCTGACTCAGGTAGATAGCTCCCATCAACTCGGGACTGGGATTTAACAGGCTAGAAACGCCAAGGGGCCTGTCCATACACGGGCACGTGCTGTGCCAGGCAGGCATCTGTTCAGGAGGCCCAGGCAGAGTTCAGCACTCTCAACCCAAGGGGCATCACAGGGAGCTCAGGTACCTGATGAGCTACAGCAAGCACCTTAGCGTTTCTGTTTAAAACGCAGTCTGGACACACGATGAGCCAGAAGACATGTAAGAAGTTACACGTAGTGGGAAAAAAAGCAAGCTCATCTGGGGCAAAGCAATCCCTATGGTTTAAAAGCCACCAACCTTCAAGAATAAAACCCAAATATTCTCGTGTACGTCTGTACAGTATTCTTTATTACTTTCCACTAAAGCTTAAAATTTTTTACGAAAGATGATTTATTCTGATATCACATTTTTATGGAGTCAGAGATTTCTTAGAGAAGTTAGTTAAAATTTAATACCTTATCAGAGTCTCTGCGCTGAGCTCCCTGGTTAAATCATCCAACTAGGTCACAGTGTCCTCAGCTGCACGCTGCGGCTGCTGAGCTAACACTGCCCGGGGTGACAGCACCCGCCGCGGTTAGGACACACAGCAGTCGTAAGTCCCATCCTGAAAAGGCTCCTCCTCCTCGGCTCTGGCTGTGTCGTCTTCTTTCCGGGCGACCATGCTGCTGCCCCCAACCTCGCCCTGCGGGACGCTTCCGTGGCCCGAGGAGCCCCTGCTCTCCTCTGCCCGGGGACTAGTCTGTTCAGGGGACTTGCCCACAGTTATTGGCTGGAAGGCTTCAGGCTGGACCTGCTCTTCTGTTATCTCACTGAGCTTCTGTAGCTGTGGCTTAATGATGTTCAAAAATGGCTTATATCCAGGACTAAGAGGAAAAAGGTAGTTAGTTCTCACCTGCAATACTCAAAAAGCCCCAAGGAGTGTTACAGATAAATTCCTACTGAACACGGGTATGGTAAGGTCAGTGACAGATTATGGGGGAGAGGAGGAGGGTTCCTTAGATGCCCTGGCCAGCACAGCATTAGTGCGAGTCTTAAATTTCTGAGCACGAGGAGCAAATTATCTAGTATTACAGTTAAAAATCATTCCACAGTGTAAGGACCAATAGGACTTTAGACTTGAAAAAGAAGTCTCAGAGAACCTGAATGAAACTGCCAATTAAGGAAAACCAGATCCAAGTAAGGGAAGCCCCAAAATCCACACATAATGGGTGACAAAGGGCTAGAACCCCAGGATCCTAAACTTCTATCCACTACTTTTTTTTTTCTTTAATTCAAGTGTCCTTTATTCTATATTGTCCTATTAGTTTTATTACCATCCACTGCTCTTTAATCTGGGCTTGCCAGTAACTGCTACGGAATGTTAAATTCACATAGACGAAGTTTTTATCTTTTCAAGCAGACATTTTTAGGTTATTATCTTTAATTCCACAGAATTACAAACCTTAAGTTCCAGTCTTAATTCTAAGATCATTTGTACTGCATCAATCTTGTCAGTGATGTGCATTCCCATTTTAAAATGACCAACACTATCTCATCTAAATTTCACGTACAGAAAGGTAACTAAAGTAAACAGCCTTAAAAATGAACATAAGAATGCATTTTTATTTTGACCAACCTAAAAATCTCCAAGTAAATGAACCAGAGCTCAGCCTTAATGGGAAAAGACAGGATTCACCAACAGCCAGCCAAGAAACAAGCCGATGGAAACCAGCACTTACCAATCTGCAGAGGCCCATCGGTCCACTGCATGCAGCCCTGTCTTTATATTCTGTAACATCTCTCCATCCACCTCTGTTGTCTGCATAATAACCAAAATCTGGTTGATTACTGAGGATTCTCTAAGAATCAAGCCTATGACAATGCACCAGTCCAGACATCCTGCCTCCATGAAGATGTGCAGCAAATACCTATATAGAAACAGCAGCAGAATAACTGAGAAGGAAATGTATGGAGCTAAGAAGAATCTACAGATGTCAGAAGGACAATCATTGCCAGGAAAGTAGCCTCTGTACCTTATTTGCCCAAATATCCCAAGTATTCTGTGCTTTCAAAATGCTGAGAAACTCACCGAAGCTGGACCTGGGATTTGTGAGGCCCTTTACTTGCCAACTCCATGGAGATGTGCTCCAGCTCTGACTGGGTTAAACTAAGCGTGGAGAAATTTTCATCCACCACTGTCCAGTCCCCGTCCACCATGGAGCTACTTTCAGTCAAGTCTGTGGCTGAACCAATACTGCATTCATCACCTGACGAAGAAGTGCCAAAGTTATAAGCTAACAATGTGGGAAACGTTTTACTTTAATTATTCCCATGTTATATTAGCAGTAACAGGAATTTTTTTAAAAGCCATCAGAGAGATAACCAGGCATTATGTGCCTTCAGATGGAAAAACATGCTACTACCTATTAAAAAAAAAGCTATGATTTGATCAAGTCTAGATTCAATTACCAAATGACAAGAAATACAGAGGAAACTGTTAAACTAAATCATGAAGATGCGATCACCAAAATCCACATTATGAAGCAAGTTTCTTCAATGAATAAATTGGAAGAAAAAAAAAAAGACAATGGAGGGGAACAATCATTACAAAGAAAGTTAAAAACATAACAATCACAATCTATGAACCTTATTTAGATCTTGATTCAAGCCATAAGACAATTATGAATTATGAAACAATTGGAATCTGAAAACTTACTAGATATTTGACGGTATTAAGGAATTACTGTTAACATTTGAGGGATGACAAGGTATGGCTTTTTTTTAAAAGAGTGAAGCTCTCTCTGAAGTGCTACAGCACATCAACTCCCAAAGGAACTAAAAAGGAACTAAGACTTAAAATGACACTTACCTTTGTTAGATAAAGGTGACAGGAAGGCATCTTGCATTTGTGGTCCATGGGACGTGGCTGTGTCTATCTCATGGTGGGTAGGGCCAATGTTGCTGAGCCAGGCCCGACTTCGTTGGACATTAGAGATGCCAGCATCTATCTCAAGGTTTAAGAAAGGGTCAGCTGACTGAGACTTTAACAGCTGCTCTCCCACTGCAAGGCAGGTCCAAAAACAAAGAAAAAAATGGGAATTCAAGATGCACACACTGCCATTTCCAATTCAGATCTTTCAGCTTCTCCACCCCCACTCCCTCAATACTAGAGGTTCAGACAATTACTGTCCTACACTGCACCATCCACCCATAAACCAGGGATATGGGATTGTAACAAAATGGACTGACTATATAATGCCATCTAACAGTCATCTTATAGCATCGTATCTTACTAGAACTAGGCAAAAATTCATTCTGTTAATCTTTTACGTGATTTTCCTTGGTTCTAAGATGACATGAAGTTTCCAAATGCCACAATAAAAGGCTTTTGTTTGAATTTTCTTAAGTGATAATTAGAACAGTCTTCCTTAAAAAGACCTGAACTAAAAAACTTTTAAAAATTTTTCTTTCACCAAAGTGGTTTCACTTTGCCCACTCCTCGCTTAGAAGAAGGGCATTTTTACCATTTCTCTGGAGTAAGTCCTGTCAGGTAAGTAACAATTTAGCTTATTTTGATTAACCAATTCCAAAACTCCTTCCCATAATAAGTGTGGTGGTTCTATATTCAGTCATTCCTCAGCTTGTTGATAATCTGCAGTAACAATGGCTAGATTTATAAACAGGACTTCAAGGTCACAAGTCTTTATTTACATCTTTGATCAAATGGTGGATGAGCTGACTGATGTACAAAAACTTGGCTCTTTCCTATTCCTGAGTATGGAATGAAAAGAATTCTTTGAATATCAACTAACAGCAAAACAGGGTAAAATACAACTCTCCTGTACAAGTGACAAAGTCTGCACTACCTGTTCGGAATTTGCCATTCTTGAAAGGAGAACTGAGACAAGAGGCTGGGATGATGGGAAGTGGCCACAGGAAATCTTTGTGGAGTCTCTTCAGGGCTATCACAAAGTTGTCTACTCGGGCAGCTCGGGCACGTTCCTTGCAGAGCCAACTAATTAGTTCAAAGCCCAGCTGGGCTGCAAAGCAACCCAGGTCCTTGAGCCGAACTTCTTCTAGGAGACGCCGAGCATGTCTCCACAGCATCATGTCAATATACATGTTCTCTGCACAGTCGCTGTCTTTGCTCCACCTATAGTGGGAACACAAGGAAGCTACAGAAAAATCTTTACTGGAAGACTTCACATACTTTTACACGGTAGCATCAATAATGCTGATAAGGAGGTAAGAGATCCAACATCTAATTCTGATTGAAGAGGAAGATAAAGTATTAGGTCCTCTCCTCCATGTGATAGCACAACCTGTTGAACAATACCTGGAACAGAGCAGGCTCTTAAAACATATTTGTAGAATGACTACACGGTATAGGGAAAAACAGGAGACAAAGCCAAACCAGAAAAGAGGGTAGTAACGGCTTGAAGGAAAGAAAGGGAGCAAATAAATGCTGTGTTTGGAAAGGCCAAGGAAGAGGGAAGGAAACCAGATCAAAGAAACGAAGGAGAAGTGGAATGAAGTCTCTTAATGTGAGTTACGTAGACAACATAAAAATAATAATAATTCTATCCCCCCTTACTCATGGAGCTGATGTGTGTAACTCATTTGGTAATGGTATATGGTGTTTTCGGTGAGAGGCAGTACTGGAGCAGGGCAGCCTGGATTCAGATCCTGGCTCTATTACTCACTAGTTGTATGAAAATAACCAAGTTTATTTTCTGGGCTTCTGTCTCTTCACCTGAACCATGTGGGTATCAGCAGTATCTACCCTTATCTACTCTTTATGGTTGTTGAAAGGATTAAAGACCTATATGTGTAAATGCTAGAACCGTGCCCAGCACACAGTGAGCACTGAGTATGTGTTAGCCAGTAAATTCAGGGTAAGGCTGAGAAGCTAATGTTTGCCTGACAGTTGTTTATAGGTTGCATTTCACTTGTATGTAGCCCATGATTGTGTATATGCTGCGAATGGGGGTGATGTTAATGGCTGTGATAAGAAAAAGCAGTTAAACATTACAATGAAAAAATGTTCAATGCCCTAGCCGGTTTTGCTCAGTCGTTAAGGCATTGGCCCTCAGACTGAAGGGTCCCGGGTTGGATTCCAGCCAGGGGCACATACCTTGGTTGCAGGCTCAATCCCCAGCCCTAGTTGGGGTGCGTGTGGGAAACAACCAAGTGATTTATCTCTCTCACATCTATTTTTGTTTCTGTCTCTCTCTCTCTCTCTCCCCTCCCCCTTCTTCCCCGCCACTCTCTGAAAAAACAATGGAAAAATACCCTCAGGTGAGGATTAAAAAAAAGAAAATGTTCTGTAAGTTTTCACTATGTGCCAGGAACTGTAGACACAATACAAACAATACAAAAGGATTACGAAGGAGAAAAAGCAAGAGCCACGAACATGCAACGCAAGAAGGAATACGAGGACCTCACAAGGCGAGGAAATTCCGTTTCATGTTCAGTATGAGCTCGTAGTTAACCTCTCAGGAGCAGTAACTCATCCGTGGGTGATGTAGGTTTGTTTCCAGACACACTTCCTCTTTGCTCTCCCACTGTTTTAGTGACTTCTCCGATTAAGAGAGTCACAAGAGAGTCAAGTACACAAGGAATGAATTTTTATTTTTGTCCAGAGGTACAGTTGGAAAGGAGGAAAAAACTGTTGACTGTAAGAAGGCTTTGGATTACTTGCAGCTTTATTATCTTTCTTTTTAGTCTACGATCAGAAGGAATTTAGTTACATTCAGAACAGGCATATCAAGGCCTATTCTAATATGAGGGGCAGAAACTATAGAGAGTCAAGACATGAACTCTGGAGGAAGAGGTAGGGAAGCCTTGTATGTGGTCTCCAAGCTTCTGGGAATTGGAAAAGGTAGTGCAGTTGGATCAAGTAGCTGTTTTTATAAGACGTGACTCTGCAAATGCCCTGAAATGCAATGTCTCACTGAAGGCCCTAGAAGCACAGCAGCTCTTCAGCCGTTTACCTTTTTCCAGGAGCACCAGATGGCATGCTCAGTGTTTTCTGCAGGCTGAATTTACCGGCAGGGGTGTTTTCAGCCGCCTGGGACAAGCTGATGCTGCGATTCCGGAAGAACTCAAATCCGCCGCCTGAACTGGGCTCCTGGGGGACACACAACGCGCAGTGCGGTTAGGAGAGGCCACAGGCGCGCGGCCCAGAGACGCTCTGCAACTCTGCAACTGACCTGAGCTGTAGGTGTGGATGGAGGTGTCTCAGATTCTCCAGAGCCAATGGCTTTAAGAAATCGAATCATGTGTCGACATAAGTCCCACTTGCCTTGCTCCAGGGCTGTGTTGAACAGAAGGGTGGCGTGTTGCCTACTTACTGCTGGGACTTCCATATTCTACAAAAACAACCAAGGAAGACACGCATTCCTTTTATACTGCAAGTAATATGGGAGGCTCTGAGCAAATCTTTATCTCCATGGTTCCCTAACCCAGAGGAGAAAGGCAGCTGCAACACTGCAGGGGATAGTCTAACAGACAAGAAAAAGTGAGGCGATTACTCTGCCATGTAAGAGATTATGACTTACTGAACTGACTACAAGCCAGGTATCTTATACAAACCTTACACACATTCTTTCATTTCTCCTAGGGAATCTGCAAAATAGGCATATTGTTCCTATTTTACAGATGAGGAAACTGAGTTAACTTGTTGAAGCAAGAATATAAATCTAGGTTTGCCAGACTCCAAAAAAGCTCAGGTCTCCTGGGACAGAGTTTTCTGAGGATGTAACTTAAAAAATCTTTGCTTGGGCAGTAGTAGGTAGCACTGTCACACAAACAGCATCCTAAATAATTCTTTCACACATTTTTTAAATTTTTTATCCTCACCCGACGAGATGTTTGTTGATTTCAGAGAGAGCGAGAGAAACACTGATGTGAGAGAGACACGCCGATCAGCTGCCTCCCATGCCCTACCCAGGAACCAAGCCGGCAGCCTTCTGGTGGAGGGGATGATGCTAGAAACCAACTGAGCCACCCAGCCAGCGCTCTTTCTCAAAGTTAACCGACTGCCTGCCATGACCTTCATGGAAAGGTGACTGACTAATAGACAAGTTTAACTGTGATGATTATCTGACAATCCACAGCAACTTAGGAATTTTGGTATAACACAAGTTTCCAATTCCATTGTTTCTGAGATCACTGAAAGTTTAAGGAATGACCTAAAAAAATAGCTACATTAATTTGTTTCTATTTTTATGATTCTGTGGCTTTTTCTTTAATAACAACCAAGGAATCCAAATTTCATGGCCATCCAACCTCTGCTCGATTCTCTCCTCTGGTTTAAATCAGCTGTCATGAAGCAAAATAAGCAGACAGGAAATCTGCTCTAGGCGGTTTCAAACCAGGTTTATGGTTAGCTTCTTACAGCAGCAACACAACTTTGCACTCACTGAAAGAAACTTTAGTGCGGCCTGTCAAATCCACATCAGACCGACAGGAACACAAAGTGTCAAGTACCCTTGTCAAATATATAATGAAGCAAACTTTCAGGAGTCTCGAAGAACCCATTATTTTGAGAAAAATCTTTATGAGGGTAATTACTGTGACAGGCGCTATGGGGAGCCTAATATAGGGTGTTCTGTTATGACCCATGGTCTAATCAGAGTCCCCTCATCAATTCCGTACCATAAGGAAACAAATCTATTATTCTGGGGGTATCAGACAAACCCAGTAATATTCAAAATAGTTCTTCACTGTGTTTCTTATGTAATATGTGCATGTTATATGTACTATACTATGTAAAATAATACATTTCTTCAGTATTATTCAAAATAATATTGTAAACTCATTAGTCTGTTTTAGGCCTATTTATAGACAAACAGGATTTTAAAAACCCTGCAATGTTACAATCAAGCACTGAATGCATAAATAAGTGGAACAACAAACTGATGTTCCTGTGTGTGTCTCTTCCTCTCTCTCTAAAAATAAATAAAAACTTAAAACCCTGCGATGTTACTTTTTGACATTCAAAGGAATTTTCTGTCATTTGATAATACTAAGTTCTTCACAAGGAAAAATATAAATTTAACAGAAAACAAGGCTGAATTAATTCCTTAAACACAATCACAGTGTCAAAACAGGACATTTCACCCTGGCCGGTTTGGCTCAGTGGTTAGAGTGTCAACCCACAGCTGAAGGGTCCTGGGTTCAATTCTGGCGAAGGGCACGTACCTCAGCTGCAGGCTCAATCCCCAGCCCCGGTCGGGGGGTGTGAGGGAGACAACCAATCAATGTGTCTCTCTCACATCAATGTTTTTCTCTGTCTCTCTCTCTCTCTCTCTCTCCTTTCCACTCTCTCTGAAAAGCAATGGAAAAAATATCCTCAGGTGAGGATTAAAAAAAAACAAAACAGGACATATTTTTCCCGAAGTTTAAGTTCATCAATTCTTGTACCTTTGTAAGAAGACAGCTGTTACCTGTAAGATAATAAGGTAAGAGGCAGCTGTGTCCAAATCCTGAGCCATCAAACATTCCTCAAACAAGTCCTTGGGGTTTCCGACGGCTGCGAAAAGGTAGTTCCACAGGGCATACTCGGTCTTCCTGGCACAATGAACAACGGTCTGCAGGAAAAGGGGGAACTCGGTGATAAACTTCGCCACAGTGGGAAGCAGGGGGTCGGGAATGGGCTCCCGTGAGGTAGCTTCCTCTTCCAGCACTTCGTGGAGCATGAGCTCCAGCACGTGAGGGAAGTAAGGTAACGTGGAGCAGGACTGGGCCAGGAGCAAGGCCTGCTCCCCAAGATTCCTGACCAGCAGCTGACGTAGAATGTGGTGGAGGTAGATCTGCGAGGTCCTCTCCACAACACAGAAAGGGAAGAGCACCTCCAGCTGTTCCCTGGCACTGTTCCGAGCGTACAGAGAGTCATAGAGTAAAGTGTCATTGACAGCACCAAGGACTAGCGCATCTTCAAACAGAACCGCCAGGGGGTAAATGTTGATGTGGAAAGGCAGCATGATCCGCTGGGACAAGAAGGAATGGGGCTTGCGGTGATCCCGAGGGAACAGAGGGAGCCAAACTTTCATCCCTGCCCCTCCGCAGCTCAGCCAGAGGGCCTCCAGAAGGTGGCGCTTTTTTTTATTTGCTCGACATGTAGTCCACACATTTTCAACAGACTGAGCTAGTACAACGGGAGGACAGAATGGCAGCTGGAAAAGGAGAGACAAGTTTCTTCCTATTAAATCTGTAGGTTAAGTTCCTGGGTACTAATTTCCTAAGACTTTCAAAATGAGAGTAGGACTTTTTGGGAAAATTAGGGTAATTTATTTAGAACTGGAGTTAATAACAGTAGCCTGGCCTTTCAGATTATGTGTACTTAAATCTAAAAACAAAACAAAACCTATGAACTTCACCAGTTTATATGATTTTCCCATTAGAACTTGGAAATAATACCTAAGCAATAACCTCTGGAGTATGGAACATTTTATCATTTCAGGACCTTATCCTTCACCCTTCACAAAGTCTTATACCCAGAGGCTTAAGACTAATTTTACATACTTCCTCAGCTTCCAAATCACAAGACAATACTCTCCTCTGAAGTTCTTTTATTCCTTTATCCTGAACCCATGCATTCTTCACGTTCTAGATGACGTGCATTTACTCACAAGTTTCCTCTGGTTCGGGTTACTGTCCTTCTCCCGGATCTGAGGGCCCGACCTGTCCCTCTGCATCATGATAAGCTGACCAGCAAGATTTAGCATAATGCTCTCTGCGTCACGAGCCTGAAAGAAACATAAGTTGAACCCATACTAACTTATAGGCATGTTTTCAGCACTTTCTCCCCAACCCCTAAGGTTTACAGGTTAAACGACCAGCAATACTTGTTGAGTGTGTCCTATGTACAGCCGTTCTGTCAGGCTCTGTGGGTGTACACAAGCAGCTTTCTGGCTAGGGTAGGAAATGCTTAATACAACACACTAATGAACAATACGAATGAATATAAAACTGAGGGCAGAGATACCAAGACTCCCTTTTTCCTCAAATTAAAACTTCAAACATAATTAAAAGTATGGAGAACAGCAGAATGAAGCCCCATATTCCCATCATCCTGATTCACAATTACCAGGATTTTGTTGTATCTGCTCCACTGAACCCTTTTTAAAAATGTTGCCAAAGTATTTTAAAGACAGCAGGCTATTTCACCCCTATACACTTAATATGCATCTCTAAAATATATATGTTTGCTTGCATAACCACAATGCCAGTATCACATCTAATAAAATTAACAATTATTCCTTAGTGTCATCTCTCTGTCCATATTTAAAAATCTCTGATTGTTTTAACAGTGTCTTTCTATAGTCAGTTTGAATCATGATACAAAAAAACTTACACACTGCATTTAGTTGTTATGGCTCTGAAGTCTTTAGAAGAGTCTCCTCTTACTTTTTTCTCCGTTATTAACTTGTTGTAGCTGTCCTATAGAATGTTCTGCATTGTCTCCTGTAGTGTTAAACTAAATATCCCTGTATTTCCTATGAATGGAAGATGAGTCTATACAATTCAGGTTCAATGTTTTGCGTAGTGACTCCATGTGAACCTCCTGCTGCACCGCTCAGGGGAGCAGGCTACATCCTGTTCTCCCCTTAGTGATGATAGGATTTATTAAGATGACTGAGGTATGATCACCTCATCCTTTCACGGAAAGTTCCCACCAACCTTTCATCTGATGCTTTCATCTAATAATAACCACTGTCTGAATCAGTTATTTCCTCAGGTGATTCCTTAATTCTGACATTCCTTCCACATCTTTACCCAGAATTCTTCTGTAAAACTAAACTTTCCCTTATCAACTAGGACTACCGGGTTACCATGAAATGTAGTTTGCAGAGGAAATGGGACCTATATTTTAAAGGACTTTAATGAAAGTGCCATAATAGGAAGCAAAAGACAAAATGAGCAGTCAGGGATGATAAATCTACATAGAATCTTCCCATGAAAATGAGTTCCACATTGACATGAAGTTTGGAAACCATCGGTATAATGGAAGGAGCCCTGGGATAGAAGTTATGCAACCTGGGTCCTGGTGGCACCACTACATACTTTATAACCAGAAACTGTGGCATTCTCCTTTTCCTTCCTTAGAATTAACTAATAGAGTCCTCTAAACTTTACATTCATACTACTTCTGTCCCTCTTCTTTGTCACTACCGAAGTCTGGGCTAGTAATGCAATTCGCCTAGATCATGACAATGGTCTCCCATCTACTCTCCCTACTCCCTGTTTTGTCCTACTCTAGTTCATTTTCCTCCTTATTATTATAATAAATGTTATAAAGTTTAGATACAGTAATACCCAGCTAAGACACTTGAGATTTTAAGATAAAGTCTGAAGTCGGTATTATCAACACGTGCCTTGACATTCTATGCTTCAGTCACCCTGAAACTCTTCCAATTCCCCGCACGTGTCATGTTCTCCCTTATGTATGGGCCTCTGCACTACTGTTCCTTCTGCCTGAAATCCCCCCTTTATTTAGATAACCACCACTATTCTTCAGGTTTCCATTTAAATAGTACGGAAATCTTCTCTGATTGTTTAGACTACTCCAGGTTTTTGTTATAGACAGAGTAACCTGTACTACTTTTTGGTACACACATCACAATTATAATTACTTATATATGTAATTATTTCCTTATTGTTGAGCAGAAACTATGTTTACTTAGTTTGTCACTGTAGGTCAGCAACTGCATACAAGGCACATTCTAAACACTTAGTATTTACTTAATGAACAAATAAATAGTTCCCAGTATCAACCAAAAAACTAAAAACTGAGATGAAAACTCTAAAGAGTTCAGAATAGAATGGTACCTGCTGTGGCATTTTCAAGGTGATTCCATTCTCTGTACTCACTGATGTCAGAGTAACAGATACTACCAGGAAAGGGTGAGGAATGTAGCGTGACATGGAGACTTCCTGAAGAACTTGGATACTAGCAGTGGTATTTGGACTGTAAAAAAAAAAAAAGAAGAAACCCACACACCTCAACAACACTAGCAAGGTTGCTCCCCACATGCCCCGCTACTAATAGTATTAGATTTCATACTTATGGGGCACCCAAATGCCTTTGACCTTAGTTCCTCCTCCCCAAGTATCTTTTAAGCAGCAAACTGACAAGGTTGAGGCATCCAAAGAACATGTGGAGATGAAGGGAGAAAGAAAGGGAGTGAGATGTGAAAGGGAAGAAAAAGCTAGGGAAGAAGCTATGAGAATAGCTTCGTTGGTTGAGAAAGGATATAGTTTCTATCTAGACTAGTAAGATTTCTTAATTTTTATCTTTACATTACTCCTCAATCACTATGCTACTTCACCAAATACATACTTCATGGCTCCTTTAAAAAAGAAACAAAAAACACCTGAGCGCATACTAAAAATCGAGAGTCATGGTCTAAATGCTGCAAGCCAACACGATGCCAAGAAGGATGCAGGCAGCACACAGCCGCAACAGGGCTGCCAGCTTCTCCTGCCAGCTCACAGCCACGCAGCTCAGCGGAAAAGGTGAGCGCTGAGGACACGCTTCCCAAGGCCCTGCGCTATGGGAGCCTTTACATTTCCCCACGTGCCTAGAACACTCGGGTAGTTACTAACTACTTGTTTTAAAGGTTGTGAAAAAATTAGTATCTAAAAGGTTTATCTATCCCAAACTAGATTTTTTTTTTTTTTTTCCAAATGAATCCAGTAAGATTATCTGAAGAAGTTAGTAAGGCTTATTTATTTACTCATTTTGGTAGCTAAAGAATACCATTTGAATATCACTAAAATTCCTTGCTTTTTTTAAACTCCTAAAACAAACAAACAATCCCACTAAATATAAAATTAGAGTAATGGTTTTGAAAAGTGAAAACTACAGAGGAAACATGCTACATAGGAACAAAGAGTGACCTGTCACATGCTATGGACTTACCCCTCAGATTTTCTTTCAATACTGTAAAGGCATATTGAGCAGTCGGCTCTGAACACTATCACCATGTCCCTAAAGACACTAAGCAGTAAGGTCTCTGCTTGTGCTTTGGTGACATGAGCAAAGGCATTGTCCAGGTTAGATGTTCGCAAGTATACTCTCAGCTGCAGAAAACAAAAATAAAGAAAATTGGAAAAACAAGATGCCTACCAGAGATGACTAAATCCATGCTATTTACTGATATTTTTCAAGAAAGAGGAGTTAAAAGACTAATCTGAGCATTAATAATAAATGGATGTTTATACTTTGACAGGGAAGGCTCATTCTATAAATAATCAAAAGATGAAGTGATCAAAACTGTGACTGTACTAATATGATACTTCTTTTAGATCTGAATATTTAGACCTGATTTAAGGATACCAGGAATTTTTCAAAAAATAAACATACAAATCAATAAATTAATAAATCTGTAAGGACAGCTACCCTTATAAACTTTTCTGCTTTTAACTTTTTTTTTGCTACTTACAAACTTTATAGAGAATGTCTAGCAGTTAAAAATCATTAGAAAAAGTTATCTAGAAGTTCTGATTATCCCTTTGAAAAAATTTTAAAGTAGTAATCTGAAATGAAAATCCCATTAACTAGAAATGCCTAATTCTAGATTAAAAAATAAAGTTTTATTTTCCAATAAATTATTTTTATATAAATCCAAATAGCCTTAATATCTTTAAAATATAACATGATATTTTTGAGAGAAAAAATTTACCTCTTCTTGACGGTCACTTATGTTATAACATGCAATGACAATGAAGTCATTCCACCAGGCTAAGCCACCTGTCACAATCATATTTTGCTCCTAAAAGGAAATTTAAAAAAAATTACCTTTATGCCGCCAGGAATTACATTAAGTAACACACTAATAAAATATTCTAAACAGATAATGAAAGCTGAAGTTATTTCTGCTCTAGTCTCATACTCCCAATTAAGCATTACTCCAGGGCCTTTATTACTGACTCATATTCTATTGAAAAAATAAACACTTTTTTAAGACAGAAAATACATCATTCAAAATAACTGGGTACCATGCAGCATTATTATTCCCACATTAAGATCTTGGTTTAAATTTTGGCTTTATCATTTATCAGCCGCTGGCCTCTGAATCCCAGGTTCTTTTATAAAATGGTAAGTAACAATAGTGCTCTCACTGGGTTGTTATGATCAATGCACTAAAATATATGAAAGCATTTAAAGTGCCTGGCACACAATAGGCACCCATTAAATGTTAATTTCTTCTCATTTCCTCCTATATGATTCATGCAAAATTTAACATCTGTTTGTGTGCTACCCAAATATTCATATCACACACAGATAAGCAGCAAAATGATCTCAAATTTTGTGGAAATGTATTCTGATCACATCTGATGAACTCACAAGTTAAAGAATTATAGTGTCTGATCTTAAAGAGAATCAAAGACAAACCAACTATCTCAATACAAAATCCTTCCTCTAGTATCAAGAACTTGATCAGAATTGACTTAGACACAATCCAACATCATTTTTAAGTATTTTGTTTTATTTCTAAGTAAACAGTGATTTACATTGTAGTTATTTCATATTGTAGTCTTCTTATACTTTGAGAAGTTAGTTTTTTAATTTCAAAAAGACCAACCTGGGTAATGTTTCCAAAAAGTTTCCATTTTTTGGTGAGTAAAGAGTAATGTGCAAAACCAAACTTGCCAACCACAGCAATATTCTGTCCAAGTTTATCAATCGCTGAAAACTGATTAAAAAAAAATTAAAAACTCTTCCTTGCAAACCTATATCTTTATTAGATATAAAGAACTCAGTATTACACCAGGCAAACAGGCTATTAATAAATGAAATGTAAAATGCTAAATTTAAAAATCTATATATTTATACACAACTTACATTTAACTGAATTATAGATATTTTACACTAACAATGCACAAAGGATCAAGTATTAAAATTTTTACTTTTATCAACGTATTCACTAAAAGGCTCACTTCCCAGAATGCCTCTTGCAGCAAATGCTATCCAAAAAAAGTTAACACCAACAAAATAATAACTCACCCGTATGGGCCAATTGCTCTCTAGATAGGTGCTGGAAATCTACAGAAAATAACACATCAGTTTGGTAAGACTTATGAAATAGATTTAAACCTTAAATCATTAACATCACAATATAAGATTCATTTTCTCATACAATGTTTAAAGTGTTTCCAAACATGGGTATTACTAGCAGAGTACTTGGAATTTACCATTTGTATACCAGCCAATATTTCACATCTCCTGTCTTAATAATTTCACTATAAGTTTCTAGACATTAGGCTTTTCTACTTTTCTCTACACTGTTTTGTTTGTTTTAAATATTCAACACTCAGTAAACAAGACTGACAAAAGATTTTTAGAGAAGCACCCACAAGGAGCACCCCCGCCAAGAATTGTGTAGATGAACACAGTTTGGGTTTGCTGATCTGAACTATCCCCAAAACAATCTTATCTAATAAAATTAGAGCCCCAGCATGGGTTTTGTTTGCTTTTTATTATTTAAAAAAAAAATTCTGAATAAAAAAGCAATACATGCTTGTAAAATTTAAACAATATAAAAATGTACAAAGTACAAAATGAAATTTTCCTGTTATATCATTGCTGAGGGTTAACCACTGGGTAGTTTTTACTCTATTTGTAAACTAACATCCATATACATGTAAGATTGTGTATAAGCTCTATTTTTTATTGGGGTGTTCACCTTATTCATCTATAAGAACTTTTAGTATATTATACATATTAACTCTCTATCTGCAACATAAGTAGTAAAAATACCTCCTCATGTTTTCTGTCTTACATCTTATCTTGTACATGGGGTCTTTGTATCACTCTAACAAGAATTTTAAACTTAATGAATCCTCTATGAGCTATCAATGTAGATTAAATAAATTATAGCTTTATGAAGACTGTGATCTCTCTACTGGCTTAATGATTAACTAATTTTCATGAGCAGGTGGTGAATGTGGGGTGCAAATTAGCAGAACGAGAGTACAAGGGAAGAATCTTCTGATCCTGGAATAAGAGAATCTTCAATTTATTCAACTTTATTTTCATTTTACTGAAATAAAAAGTATTACATATTCAAAAAAAGAAAGCAAAATTAAAAAGCCAAGTAAATGTCATCGAATCCAATGATTCTTTGCATAATAAGACAAAAGGAAAACCAAGTAAAAATATGTTGAAAACATCTGCATTGACCTTGACAAAGTTATTTATAAAACCATTTGTTAGACTTCACTTATTACCTAGTAAGCCAATGTAAATTCTGAAGAAATTAATAGCTTTTAGTACATTAGAAAAATTTTAACTTCAGTGCTGGCTCGTGGAAGCCCACCCTACAGAACTGAAGATAATGTCACAATATATGCTTGAAGAATGCTTAACTTGTATCTCAACTGATATGCTGTACCATTTAGGCCAATTAATAAAATTCACTATGAGGGGTGATATTAATTCAGAATAAGGATAATCTAATGTAACAATCATTTGACAAAATAAAAGGGAAAGTTTTGTAGGAGGCTGCAAGCAAAATTATTTTCTTTTCTTGGATGAAGAAAATAGCCACTTGAAGAAGGATGTATCTGGAGTATGACTGAGCCAGCCACTCATGACAGAAAAAGAACACCCGCCAGCACATCTTGGTGTTTCGTAAGTGGGTAAAGCGTGAGATGTGCTCTCACTGCCAAAGTGGATTCCAACAGGAAGAGTTTCTAATCATGGGAACCTAGGTCAAATCTTATCATATGATCACCCTCTGATGAGTATCTGTAGGAAGCAACAGTTTATTCTTTTAACCTTCAAAAGCGTATGAAGTGCTGCAAATAATTTCTTTTCAAAACTCAAAGTGCTTTATTTTTCATGCAGTTTTGTGTCTGAAGACGTCATAAAATGAGAAAACAAAACTTTTATTTTTCCCCAGTAAGTCACCTTTACTGATCTGTGCCACTTGAACTTTGGAGCTCTGCCCCTTATACCGAGAACAAGAAATGGCAGAAGGAAAAGAGGTAGCTAATGAATAATGCAGAAACTCAAGTCAAGATTCCATACTCAGGGCACAAAGTCATGCCACACTACTGAGAAACTGAGCGCCAGGGTATAGAATCTCTACTCTTAACATCTTAGGATTCTTCAGTCTCTCAAGGAACCTAATTTTTCCCCTTAATGTCACTCTGCTAAAACCCTGTCTCCTGCTAGACTACTTCTGTCTGTAACTGGTGAGATTGTGACAGTCCGCTTCCCAAAAGGTTTTATCTGTGCCAAATACCACACCTAGTACATAGGAATGAAAGTAGATCATTTATAAATAAAATAGTCTTTAAAATCCTGAGCTGACATGCCTAACGTAGTGCCTAACACATCGTAGGTGTTTACTTCCCACATTTTGTGAAGCTTACTCTTTCCAAGCAGTTTGTCAAGCATTTCAGAACACTGGATGGTGATTCATGTACCTTTCAGAAATAAGTGTTTATATTATGCAAAATACTGAATATTAAAATAAATGGCAATCAAAGAAGGAACATACCCTAATACCATGAGGGTACTGTTATTGTTGTTTTTTAATTTCATATTATTCATTCTCCATCTGTCAACAAACTACTTTCAATTTTTAAAACATGTGTAGCTGGGGAAACTAAATAAAACAAACAAAAAACACCATCTCTACCAGAAGCTACCAACCTTGCTTCTGACAAATATGTATTTGTGATGTTTTAGTTAAAGGAAAAAACATAACTCAGACTCTTCTGATCAGGAAACTAACAAATGTAAGGCAGAAGGCTTAAACAAACAAAACATCCAGTAATCTAAATGAGGAACAGACAGCAGCAGAATTAGTTGGAGCTCATTTGATGAATTCTAAGCTGTACAAAAAGCATACAAACAAAACCACCCTGATGGAGTATTTGGGCACTTATCCTACACAAGAGCATATGCTGAAGGGGGGAATTAAACAGGCACCCGTTTCTTCAGGGAATCATTACTAACGTCTAAGGAGCCTGAAAAGTAAAGCATTAGATTGCATGAACACTGTAAACCACCCCACCAAAACACCACCACACCACACTGCACTGACGCATGGCTGGAGTGCCAGCAAACAAAATAGAGGGCACATTCTAGGTTTTAGCTCAAGGTCAGTAGCATATTATATGACTCAACATTTAGTACCTAGGTTCTGAAATAGGTTAGACTATCACTTTAATTTATATTATGGTAAGGATAAGTCTGCCACTAATCTGCTGTGACCTTGGGTAAGTCACCTAACTTCCCTGAGCCTGTTTCTTCACGAATAAAATCCAGTTGGACTACATGATCTCTAAGGTCCTTCCAGCTCTAAAAATTCTATGAATCTATTATAACTGGATTATTTGGGAGTACAACTCTGGCATTATTTTTATTAGTGCTAGAGTTAGACAAGTTCATTTTTCTGAATATTTTAGATATCTGAAGAATAGAATAACAGAAGAATCTTGCTAGTACCTACTTTGTCTAAAGTTGTAAAATCAGTGTTACAGGGTTCTAATATGGGATACTTTGTAGATGGCTAAGCACCACAGAATCAATGAATTTTTGAGCTGGAAAGAAATTCAGTTTTTGTTATTGCCTGAGGGATTTTTGAGTTCCAAACCTACCTTCTTTGATCCTCTGCTCTACTTGGCTCTCTGGCAACACAGACCTGGCTAGGCAGAACTGGCATTGATGCTAGGTCAGTGTAGAATGAATAGTTCAAAGTATGGGGAAATGAAAATAGCAGAGAAATGGCTATAGGAGAGAAGGGAGCAGTGGAAAATTTTAGTCAAGGAAGTAGCTGATGAAGTTTTATTTAAAAACTGTTACTAATTATAAAATGGTATGCACATTGTTTGATTTTATGAACTTATTAATGTAAATTAAATACACTTTACTTTAGTGTATGCCACATGTCAATGTAGGAGATACTCCTTAAAGTTTTCACATAATGACCATTCTTCTCTCATTATCTCTAACCAGAGTCAACTGAAAGTGACATAGGAGCTGAAGTAAGCCAGTAAAGGAAAAATACAGAATGCAGAAGTAAGGCAAAGAATTGTAGAAATGGAAACTAACTAAAACAATACTCCAAGAGTAGGCACTGATGTACCTAAGACATTTTGGTATCAAAAGAGGAAAGAAAACACTCAGAACTGAAACTATGTATGAAAGTTTCTTTCAAGAAACTTCAATTTATTGATTTACCTAAGTTAATTTTATTTGGTATAAAAATTCACAATTTTCATATTAAATGCCAATTTATCAGAATAACTACAAGAAACTGCTAACTTAAAGTTGTACCAGAGTAAGCAATTTGGAACAAGATTAAGTAATAATGAAATTATTAACAATAAGGTTCTAACCTGACCACAAGTCTCCAATTTTGGTTTAAAGTCAGACAAGTAACCTCAATATGTTCCTATTAAGACTACAAGGAGAGCTGCTACACAGGGTACTACATCAATACTGTTATTTTCCATGAAATTACTACCTTTTTGCTTATGCAAATCCACAGAGCTAAAATTATACCAAAAGAAAAAAAGTTTGGAAGTACAATAAACAGTTTTGCTTAGTAAGAGGGCAAAACATAAACTTCCAGTGTTTGAAACTGCTCACTACTAATGGACCTAAAGCAGGCGGGGATATGCTCTACATCAAGTGGAAAGAAAGGAAGCAGAGACAAGAAAACAAGAGCACAGAGAAGCAGGAGAGACATGACAGTCAAAAAGGTTAAAAAGTTTCTGTTTTCTAAAGCAACAGGGGAAATATTTAAAAATCTGCTCCAGGTGCTACCTTACCAAGGACTCAGCCAATGGCCACTGATGACTTACTTGTACTACATGCCAATGCCGATGTCCAAGTAAAGTGCTTAAACCCTGAGACTCGAAACCATCATCTGCAAACAAGCTCTTTCCCCGGCTGGGTTTAGAGTGTGCTGAAGAACTGGGGTTCTGGGTTTGTGAGGCCTCTCCACAGTTCAAGTACAATCGATCCTCTCCCTGAAGCAACACTTGCTCTTGGTTACTCTAGATGAGGGAAAAAGGAAGCAGAGGGGCCAAGAAGGAAATAAAAACTCGGTATTAGGTAGGGGAAAGTAAGTAAACACATCAATTTAGTTTTATTATAGGAAATGCACCATATATACTAATGCTGATTTCCCCCACAGAGGACATGGCTACAAAATGATCTCATGCACTGTATGTTTAGAAGGAACAGGCAGCATTTTAATGAGGGCTTCCCAGTGTAAATGAAACCTTTATCCTACAGATTCCAAAACATGCCCAGGTTTACAACTGCCATAGCAGTATCTTTTATTGCTACTCTAATATGGCAATGCTGTGGGAGATTTTCCGTCTGAAAACTAAACACAACCACTCATTATCTACAGTTTACAAATTAGTTTCACATAAAATACCTCACAAATGGTGGTAAGAAAACGTCCTGTTGAACAGTTTGTGTGTGTGCTCACTCGTGTGCCCACATGGCAGGAAGGGGGTAAATTGGTGATGGGGGTAACACGATGCTGGAGAATTTTTTAAACCACGGAGAGGAGGAAGGACAGTCCAAGTCCATCGTTCTGGTTCAGAACGACTCAATGATCACTTGGTAAATGCTGGGTTAGTGCAAAGGACTGTGCCAGGTTCTGAGGATATTTAGACAAATAAGACATTTTCTTCTCTTAGCGATTATGCCATTTTCAATCAGAAGGCCAGTGTTCTCCAACACAAACAGATTCCTTACTGGATATTCAAATCGGACAGATCAGCACCCCAGAGCTCCTCACCTTTCTGTTGTAGTACAAACACTGTGTTGACATAAAACTCAAGGGTAATTTTAAATTATTATTTGGGGTGGGGGTGGGAGGAGAAATGCTCTATTCTTGTTTTTCTGGGGAACCTTATTCTTCAACTACAGTAATGAGATCAAAGATTCAGGTTATTCACACATTCTTTCTCAACGCGTTGTACATTTTAACTGCACCAAGTATCTAAAAACCCACTGGTGGCAGATATTTAGATATGCACACCTTAATATGTACTAGTATTACGTACTAATAACATGTAATATTAATATATGTTATTTCAGATTGATAAAACATGATGGATTTTCATTATAATTTGGGGCAGTACTTCCCAAAGCAGGTTCCTAGGCATATTATTTTCAAGGGGTTCCTTAAAAATTCAGTTACATAAGCTTGGGAAATGCTGGTTTTTATACACCAGCTCCTGGACTTCATAGTGCACACTAGCATGTGAATACCTGGAGACCTACAATGAAGAAATCTCTACAGCTTTAAATCCTTTATTTCACACTCACACAACAGAACTTTTTCTTACTCTGTGTAAGAGCTATTGATATTTCTCATATGCTTGCTGGAACACACTGGGAAATACTATACAGATAAAGATTAATTTTTTTCAAGTTATTCAACTAAATCTGTAAACACTGCTTTTTTTCAAGTTGTTTATGATCTTATTTTTTTTAAAAACCTGCTCAGAAATAAAATTTTAGCGTAAATTTAATAGGAATTTTAAAAAACCCACAAGGCCCAGCTGGACGTGGCTCAACAGTTGAGCATCGACCTAGGATCCAGGTGATCCGGGTTTGATTCCCGGTCAGGTCACATGCCCGGGTTGTGGGCTCAGTCCCCAGTTGGGGGCATGCAGCAGGAGGCAGCCAATCAATGACTCTTTCATCATTGATGTTTCTCTCTCTCTCTCTCTGAAATCAATAAAGATATACTTAACCCTTTGCGGTCGTATTAAATTTGGACATGGGTGTCGTACTGGTCGGAATTAATTTCCATTGAAAGAGCAGTGATACATAACATGCAAAATTATGAAGGATAAACAAGAGAAATTATGAACTGATACATGAATGAATAGAGTTAAGATTCATTCGTACAGTTCCTTGCTGTGGTGGCTGAGAGCAGACATACCATCGGAATGGTAAAAAAGCTTTGGTGGCTGAGAGTAGACAAAC